GTATAGAGGAGACCATTAATGTTTTCAACTGTTATAATGAAAGATTACAATTCACTTATGAAATTGAAATTAATAATTCGATTCCATTCTTAGATGTTTTTATATTAAAACAAAATAATATTCTACTTACAAACTGGTACACTAAACCAAGCTTCACTGGCAGATTTTTAAATTTCATGTCAAAACACCCCTTTTCACAAAAAATGCGATTATTTACAATTTTGTTAATAGAACTATTATACTTTCTGATAGCAAATTCCACTCTACATATATGTAATTAAAATATTATTTAGTAATAAATTTATAATTATTATTAATTTTTTTATAAATACCAGACTCAAGCGGCTCCAAATTTGAGTCTTGACGAGAAACTGAAGCTTCAGCGCCTTTTGTTACATCCGGATGATTCCACATATTATGCAACTCTGTTATAATGGAATTCACAAAATCTCGGCCATTATCAGAGTGGAGGATTGCCGGCACGCCAAAAAGAGTGTAAATTTTCATCAGGTTCAATAAAATTTCTTCCGCTCTTTTGGATTTCAGAGCTTTTAAGTTGACAAATTTTGTCAAGTGATCTTGGTAGACCATTATAAATCTAAATCCATTGTGCTCCTGTGATTGCATATCGATTAAATCCAGTTGAGCCCTTGAGTTATATGCTGAGTGCAAAATAGGTTTAGAAACGAGGCCTCTCTTCTTATTCGTACTTTTTTTCTGGCAAACGACGCACAATTTTAAGAACTCCATTATACTTTCCCTCGTCACGTTGCAATACGAATTTTTGCACTCATATTCCATGCGATTTCTTCCTCCATGCCCAATCGTGGAATGCACATTGAAAAGAATTTCAAATAACTCTTCAGTCTTAACAAAATATAAAATTTTTTCATCGTCATTACTATATACTTTTATTTACTCTCCCTGCTTTACACAGGGTTCGAGGACCCAATTACATTTTTCTTACAAACTAATCTTTACAAAAAAAATTCTTAAAACTAAACGCAACTTATAACTAACTTAATCTACCTATCTGCCAGTGCCGGGCTTCCGTTTCCAGTTTCTTATGCTCTTTTTGGCTTCGTCATTAAAACTAGTACGAATAAAAAACAACTATCCCACCCTCCAATCACTTTTAACTTTAAACCCTCCATTCTTTCCTGTCTCATTTTCTCTAATTCATTCATCCATCTTTCACCTTGCCCGCTGTCGTCCAAAAACCATCTCACTCTCTCCTCTATTCCTTTCTGCTCTTCATCCATTCCTCGCACACACCTCTCTAACACATGTTCCCAGTCCTCTCTCTCATATCCACACATTCTACATATCTTTTCTTCCTCTCCGATCCAATACTTGCATTCTCTCATCCCCTCACCCATTCTAAACTTACATACTCTATTCCATCTTGCATACTTTTTGATTTTCTCAAGATAACTTGGCATTCCCTCCCCCCTCACCGCCCTGTACCATTTATTATGTCGTGAATTTACTATTTTTTCCCACCTTTCCTCCTTATGCTTCTTAACCCACCCTTCCAGTAAATCCTTTCCTATTCCTACCCATTACTAATTGGTTTAATTAATTTCCTGTGCCCATTCACGGAAATCGTGTCAAATCGCTTTAACAATCTACGGTCATTTGAATTCTTCTTATCATTCAATTTTAAACTTTCCACTTTTTGCATACATTCTTCATATTCGACGGAAGAAATATACGCACTATTATCTGCACATTTTGCAGATACTAAATCGTTTATAGCATTATTGAACCGGATTTTATCAACTGAAATTTCCATAGCGCGTGAAATAGAAAACGCGTCGTCAACTTTAGACAGTTGATTACACACTAATCGATTGGTATATAGTGACATTGCAAAATCATTACTGTCGAAATTTGACTTCAAAGGCAATAATATAAACTTTGTTTATATCCTGATTTTAGCTAGGTATAGCATTTCAGACATTGCCCAAGATAGGAAAACCTGAATAACATGAATTTTTCAGACAATGTCCACATTGCCCAAAGTGACTGGGCAAGGTCGACCTTTCCCAAAAATCGACAATGACCGTAACATATATAAACATTTTCAAATCTTTACTTATTGACAATAGTTACCCGTCTAATCTAATAGATAAACATATTAAAATACGAATCAATTTTCTAAGATATAATAAACAACGCCCTAATAATAAAACAATAATTTTTAATGGCATACCTAAAGTTGTTTTGCCATATTTTCCTGATCTCTTTGAGAAAAGCTCATCTGCTCTAAATAATTTTAATATAACTACCATCCCTAATAATTATAATAATAATAATATAATTAAAAGAGTTAAAGATCCTGCCATAAAATCTAATACTACTAATGTAGTTAATAAGATCAACTGTCAAAATTGTACAGCCTCATATGTCGGACAAACAAAAAGAAAGATTGGTGTTAGAATGAAAGAACACATGAATTTGAAAGACAATGTCATACTTGATGCACTTGTCGGTCACCTTCTCAATGTTGTTTTTCTGTTTTTATCTAATTATATGTTTACTTTTTAAGTTTCATTGACCACGTGTATTTTTTTATTTTCTCTGCCTTCATCGTAATTTTATTTCTTGACCATCGATGACTTTGAAATTTTATTTGTTGCACTTGTTTAATTTTATTCCTTCAGTTTATCTGCATTTGCCATCGCATGATGATGCGTTCGCGATGTAATTGTTACTTTATTTGTTATATTGACAATGAGCCAATTTGGAATGTTATTTGATTTCGACATATTTTTTCTTTAATGTTATTTATTTTAATTTTATAATTTTTTTGTGATTATTTTAAATTGTAAACAAATTTTTCAAAATAATAAAATTTTTGCAGTTCTGAAGAGGACGGTAGTACCGTCGAAACGTTAAAATAATTATGTCTTAATTTTCACTTTTTTGACTCGGGAAGATTGATAGTTTCTATTTTTTAAATCATTAGGAGTGTCTTTGAAAAATCGAGAAATGTATACCAAAAATTTATTTCATTCCTGTAATGTAACTTAGACAGGACATGTTATTCTATACCAAAACAATAGTAAATTTGTTACAACAACGATTCAACGAATTTTGAATATGGGGATTATTGGATCCCAATTTAAAGATTTTAACGTTCGTTAATTAAAAATCTTGAAACTCGATTTTAAACAAATTTTTGTTAGATATATGCTATTAAGGGGTAAGGCCACCATGTGCGTGACAAAAACAAAGGCCAATTTCGGGAATTTTTTTAAAAAAATATATGAAAATCTATCAAATTTCCCTTTTCAGTAATTTATTATTTATGCTAAAAGGTACAAAAATATATATTTACAAATTTTTTTTCAATAAAATTACTCCCTCCAGGATCCGCTTAAACGGATGTCTTTTTTTATGTCCAAAACGGTCGGAATAGCTGCACCTACAAATTTGAACTTAAAATAAAAATCTATATATTTTCCTTTAATGTATGTCATTAACTATTAGACTACGTAGAGTTTTTTCGATATGTTGCAAACTTTTTTTTTATAAACTATTAAGTAATTAAATTTGAATGAAAAAATTGTATTTTTGGTTCATATACTCGCCATTTTTCGAAAAAACAATATTTTCAAAATCCTCTACGTGGTCTACTAGTTTATGACATACATTAAAGGAAAATATATGGATTTTTATTTTAAGTTCAAATTTGCAGGTGCAGACATTCCGCCCGTTTTGGACATAAAAAAAGACATCCGTTGAAGTGGATTCTGGAAGGGGTAATTTTATTGAAAAAAAATTTGTAAATATATATTTTTGTACCTTTTAGCATAAATAATAAAGTACTGAAAAGGAAAATTTGATAGCTTTACATATATTTTTTAAAAAATTCCCGAAATTGGCCTTTGTTTTTGTCACGCACATGGTGGCCTTACCCCTTAAATAACTAATTTGGTCAAGTGCTTCTAGCAATAATAAAACAGATGTTAAATTTTCGATTTACCATACTGACTCTACTCAAAAAAATTCTACGAAAGTAAATAACATACAATGCGAAGAAAACATAAAGCCATATCAGACTTATAAATTAAGGGGGATTACTCATGAGAAGTGTGCAAAATATGTCAAAATTCAACATTTTTTTCTCGCTTAGTTAATTATAAAATTTAAAAAGACTTTTTGCGTATTGAAAAGTATAATTTGCAGTATTAAAAACAATTAAAAATTTTTTATTTTTGTATTGTGTTAGACTGTAAAGGGCGTCATAGTCGACGCTTCAATTTTGAGACGCTCTACAGTTGCAGACCTAGCGCACTCCCCAGTGATTTAAAACCAAAAATCAAAAAATAATCTTAAAGTTAAGGTACTAATGTAGTGGTTATACCTAAAATTACCTTAAAAAATCAAAATTTAAAAAAATGGCACTACTTTAAACAAAAAAGTTGAAAACTGACGTTTTTTCCCGCCATTTTATTGTTTAAAAACATATTAAAATTTTTTTTTTAAATTTTAAGTATAACCACTAAAGAACATATTTTTGAACAATATGCAAAAAAAAATTAAGCCAAAATATCCATCCGTTTATTCACAATCCCTACAACCGATTTAAAAAACAACGTTTTGAGAAAATCGCAGTTAAAGTTTAAGTACGCTTTTTTGGCTTTAGTGTTAAATCCTTCATATCTTTAAACAAAATCAATATTTTTAAGTCAACTTTGGTGCGTTTTTTTCCGGAAGTATAGGACTATTAAATTATGTAGACAAGATCATAATCAGCGACCCCGAAAACGTTAAGATACTAAATTTCAAAAAAATGCAGTAACATTTTTTTCAACATATGTATACATAAATTGTACCATAACTTTTAATAGGAGCTAAATTTCGTCATAAAATTTTTGATGTGTACTCTAGAGATATTAAGAATTGTAAAAAAGCAAAAAAAATTGAAAACAATTTTTTTCTCATGAGTAATCCCCCTTAAAGAATATTTATCATTATATTTGTTATTGTAGGTGAAATGCGTGGGAATGCACTTTACACGAGTATTCCTCCAGGTCTAAGTATTCCACCCCCAGGCTTATGCTTGCCTTCTCCAGAACAAATGTCAATGGGATCTGGCATAAACACACAATATGTTCATGTTGGTTTTCCAACAATGAATCACATGCAACCATGGACGGGACAGGTTCTGATGGGCAATCAGTTAATGTATCACACAGGTGAAATGTTGGCGTATCCACCCTCTCCATTAGTTAGTCGCCAATCATCACCCTCCCAATCACGATCTCCTAGTCGCAATAACTCACCATCTCGAAAAAACAGTTCAGTAGCTCGCACGTCTTCTCAAGTTACTCAAACTGTATCTAATGTTCTGTCATCAACAAGCTCCTCCAATAACCAAACGAATATCGCAAGTTCCTCTGCTTCTTTCTTACCTCCTCCCACAGCAGCTTCCATGAACAGAAGTTTGCCTAGTCAACCACCTTTACTCCATCCACGGTCCAACCCTCCGCCAATAATTAGCACAGCTTCTTACACTCATAACAATGCTGAAATCTCAGCTACTCATTGCTCATCTTTGGCAAAGCAACCACCACCTCGTTTAAGATCAACAGGTTTTTGTGATTCTTTAAGAGAAACTCTAGGAAAGGAAATGCCCAATTACAAGGGAAACCTACAAAATTTCACTCTTGATGAGGTAAGGCTTCAACAATTATTATTTGCTTGCCAATGTGTCCTTTAACGATGATTTATTTGTCAATTATGCACTATATTTAAGGGGGAGTGACACCTTTAAGGTCTCTTTTGAAATTGTTTTTCATGAATTTTTTTAAGTCACAGGAATAAATTAAACAAAATTTGGTTTCGAGTACTTTATTTGTTAACTTTTTAAGTTTACTAAAATATATTTATACTTCAAAAAAGTTTAAATTTGTTGACTGTAGATGCCGCTAAAGTTGGTCTCGTTTCTCTGCAGGGCAAATCGGTGGGCAAGATTCCGGTTAGACCGTTTAATATGAAACAAAAATTCAAATTTTTTCTGAATCTGTGATAGATTTAGCTTTAGAGTACGTAGGATATTTTAAAAATATTAATGTTTGTGGAATGGGCAGCTATTTCAAGGAAAAAGTCGATTTTTAGGGCGAAATTTTTTCAAAAAATCTATTGCCAAAAAAAAAACCAATAAAAAATCCGCTACGTACTCTAAAGCATTAGTAAATGACGATCAAAAAAAAACTATGGCCGAAGTTAATCCGTCAAAACTGTTCGAGCTAGACTGACCACCGTTTTAAAAAATGTCATTTCGAGAAAAACGCGTTTAAAGTTTTGACATGAAAACTTCAGGCCTCGGATTATACGACTTTTTCGACTATTTCCGACTTTTTTTGACTTATTTTAATAAAATGCGACTATTTCGACTTTTTTTTACATTTTTAAAAAAGTTTTTTAAATAAAATATATTTTTTTTTTTAGTAGAAAATGCAGATCTTTTTCACATCTTCTTTATTTCAATTATTTAACAAATTTTTAACTAAAATTTTTCACTAAATTAATTATTTTTAATAATTTTAATGAAATTCATCACAAATTCAATTATTTCAAATTATTTTTCAATTAAAATTTTTATAAAAATTAACAATTATTTATAATTTAAAAAAAATATCAAATAAAATTACCAAAAATGTTTAATTCAAAATCATAAATCAATTCAAAATCAAATAAAATTGAATTATTTTCAAAAATTTCAATTAAAAATCAACTAAAATTCAATTATTACCCAAAATTTCAATTCAAAATTAATTATTTTAAAAATTTTCAATCAAATATCAATTAAAATTAAATTATTATCCAACATTTAATTGAAATTCAATTATTTTCCAAAACTTCAATTCAAAATCTTTTAAAATTCAATTATTTTCCAAATTTTCAATTCAAAATCAAAGAAAATTCAATTATTTTCAAAATTTTCAATTAAAAATCAACTAAAATTAAATTATTCTCAAAAATTTCAACTCAAAATTATTTATTATTAAAATTTTCAATCAAAAATCAACTAAAATTGAATTATTATCAAAAATTTCAATTATAATTCAATTATTTTCAAAAATTTGAATTTAAAAGCTTCTAAAATTTAATTATTTCTAAAATTTTTTGAAATTTAACTATTTCAATTATAACTCTAAGGAAATTCAATTATTTTTAACTATTTTTATAATATTCTTTGAAAATTCAACTATCTGAAACCATTTTTCAATTAAAAATGGTTTTCAAATTATTGTATTTTTGTCTGCAGTTTCTAATAAATTTTTTAGTGAAAAAAAAATTTTTTACATAAAAATCACTTGAAGTTCAATTAATTTCAAAAATCTCAATTGTAAATCTTTGAAAATTTAATTATATTTAAAAAATGTTATCTAAAATTATTTGATAAATTTTTTTTAGTTCTGTAAAATTTAATTATTGTCTAAAAATTAACAAAATCTTTTGAAATTCAATTATTTCTAAAAATTTCAACTTTAACCCTACCAAAAGTATTATTATTTAAAAAAAAAATTATTTAAAAATCTGTAAAATGTTTTTGTTAAAATTAAAAAAATCGACTTTTTCGACTTTTTTTGGAATATAAATTGACTAAAACGACTTTTTTTGTGCCTTTAAGTCGATCCGAGGCCTGAAACTTATAAAAAAATGAAATCAACGTTAATCTGCGATGCTTGTATCGTATAATTGGCCTTCTACATTAATATTGGCTTCATCTTCAGCCTTTCGAGCGGCTGTGAGCGCAAAAGAACGCAATTGTTACCACGGTAAAAGACAAAATAGCCGATAGCGCTATAAAGCACTCGAAGCGCTCTTGGACTCCTGCAGATTTCAATTTTTTTCACATAAAATAACTTCCAAATTGCTTTTGCTGATATAATTTCTATTCTACACATCATAAAGTATCGTTTAAGAAAACAAAAAAAATCGATTTTTTTTCGGGTTAAAGGTGTCACTCCCCCTTAATGAGAGCTAGAAGATTGTGTAGGTTCATTATTAACACAATACAACTAATTTATTATTTATATATTTATAATCCGAGTCAGAATTGGTAGTAATATGGTTAAAAAAACTCTTTTTTTTAATGTTTCGATAGACAATGCTGTTTTCATCAGATCTAAAATTTATTTTACTATATTATAAATTTTGTTTTTAGTAATTATATGTAACACAATTAAATCAAAATTTAATTTAAACAATTTTTTTAGAGTTAAGTAAAATATTTAAATCAATGCTTAACTTTATGATACAAGATCACCATGCATATATACATCTATTTCATTTATATAAACAAATTACACAATAATAAATTAATTTTATCTCAACGACTACCATCTGAACATTTTAATAATAATATTGAAAAACGAAATGTTAATAATTCGAAATACTGTTCTATTCTGTTAACTGAACACTATAATTGAATATATTAAATAAATTGAAAATTTTATCTCATGCAGTGAGGTTAACTAAACCATTTCAAATATATTTGAATGATATTATAACTAATTCAATAAACCCTCCAAAATCGCAAGTAAAAAATGGTTTCCAACTAATTGAAAACTTAAATGATATTACAATACTTGATAATTATATACTTATCTCTTGATGTCAAATCAATGTCAATTAAAAATCAAATAGTTTTAGCAATAACTAATAACTAATTTAGCAATAAAAAATATGGGAACAAATTAAATGGGTTTCCCGCTTGTCATCACCAATATTCGCTACAATTTAGTGGATACGGCAATAACATTATGCGATATCTAATTTCACAAAAGCAATTTACAAAAAATCTAACAAATGTTATTAAATAATGGATATCCTACTCATTTCATCACAAGTAATATTAACCCCTTCGTTGACAGAAGAAATTCGACAAAAAGTGCCCAATTAAAGTTAATTTATCTAATAATAAAAAATATTACAATAATGTGTCGAAAAATTTTATGATTACACTGGGTAACAAAAAAATGGTCATGTTGTGTTTATTTTAAAATTCCTGTGTTTATTGAATATTTGGGTGTCAAGGATAACGAAAATATAAAAAAAAAATTTAATTTGTTCAGTTCCCTAAAAATGGGGGTTAAAGTGTAAAAAATGGCTTTTTTGGCACTTTTTGAAGTACTATGAAAGGAAAACGTGAGGGCTTGGAAAGCTTTAATAGGGCTCAAAAGATAGCTTAAACCTTCAACTTTAAGACCCAAAACTGAAATATCATGCAATAATTGCGGAGAACCTGTATTTAACGCATAACTCATAATGTTTCATTGAATTTGCAGTTTAAATCATTGGGAATGTATGCTTGACATGTAGCGATTCTCCAAAATCGGAATTGCTTGAAACTAGTCACTTAGAGATTTTCTGGGTTGCTGATTACAAATTTAAGGTTAAATTTTAAAAATTCAAAATAGCGTATGCGGTACGGCAGACGATATTTCAGTTTTGGGTCTTAAAGTTGAAGGTTTAAGCTTTCTTTTGAGCCCTATTTAAACTTTCTATGTCCTTACGTTTTCCTTTCATAGTACTTCAAAAAGTGCTAAAAAAGCAATTTTTTGATACATTAACCCTCTTTTTCAGGGAACTGAACAAATCAAAAAAAAATTTTTTGTATTTTCTTTTTCCTTGACAGCTAGATTTTCAACAAGCACAGGAGTTTTGAAATAAACACAACATGGCCATTTTTTTGTTACCCAGTGTTATCAATAATTGAAAATCACTTATTATTTTTATTTTATTTACCCACTAACTTAAAAATTTGACTGTTGTCATCTTCACATACTTCCTAAAATTATGACAATTAGTTTGTATTGTACCGTCTTTGTGAGTACTTGTTGTTTGTTTGACAATTATTATTTATTTATGTTTTTAATTTAATGTCATTTTTTTGCTTCTAACTAAAAATGTTGGGTGTACTTTCGAAGTAGGGGTACCTTTGATCTTAATGAAACTTGGTATACTAACGTATTTTGGTGCGCTGATTACGAAAATGATAGTGAAAATTGGCGCAAATTTGATTATCATGGTAAAAACCATAAAAAACACCATAAAATCATGGTTTTTTGAGATTATCTCGTAAAAAACAAAAAATTTCGAAAAAAAGGTTTAGACAAAAGTTCACTGCAAAAAGAAGTATCTTATTTTAAGATGTTTTGGTCGCCTTTTTAAGATGTTTTTTACAACTTGCTTCTAAGTTATCAAAAACATCTTAAAATGCATTAGTTTCTTAAGATATAAGATAGATAGGAAGATACTTTTGGTAACTTGCTTCCAATGTGTCTTATAATAAGATACTTCTTTTTGCAGTGTTGTAGATCTGAAAAAAACACACATTTTATGTTTTATGCATTTTTTATCAAAAGTCATTATTTTTCGAGAAAAATCCAAAAAACGATGATAATCAAATCATATCATATGATAATCAAATTTGCGCCAATTTTCACTATCATTTTCGTAATCAGCGCACAAAAATACGTTAGTATACCAAGTTTCATTAAGATCGGAGGTACCCCTACTTCGGAGATATATCCAAAATGTTTTCGAAATTAAAATTTAAAGTAATATTTTATTTAGCTCTAAAAGAATTGTTTATATTAAATTTTCATTTGTGTTACATATAATTACTAAAAACAAAGTTTATAATATGGTGAAATAAATTTTAGATCTGATGTGGACAGCATTATCTGTCGAAACATTAAAAAAAGAGTTTTTTTAACCGTATTACTACCAATTCTGACTCGGATAAATCGATCAAATTGTATATATTTTCTATAACTTATACACCGAGTGATTCTTCCAAATTTTTATTTAATGATAAATAATATTTAATTGCACATAATTATTAATATTTTCGTAGTTATGGATTAGCTTATCGATTGGAAGACAGTAACTAAATTTTATTTTTTTTTATTTCAACTACTATTTTGAAAATTCTCAAAATGACAAAACCAATATTTATTAGATATAAGTTTATATTTTGTGAGTTTGTTCGGAGATGCTAAGGTACATACACAACTGAATGCATGTTATTTACAAAAATTTTCACTAAATACACTAGACGCTTGATCGTTGCGCTCGATCAGTGTGTGTGACAAACTGCAGAGTAAGAACCGAAATCCTTCCTACAATTATTTGTTTGACACTAACTTATACGAACCAGGCACTTCTCAGTATCAACTTTAATAGTAAAATTTTAAAAAATTACGTTATATCTATTTCTAGACATTATCTTTGCAAATTATTATTTTTTATCTTCTTCTTCTATTTTCTATCTTTCCAAAACCTGCAAGAATTCTTTCAATAAAACAATATTAAATTCTTATATTTAGAATCAATAATCTGTACTCATCGAGTAGGTACTTATACCATTATTACTAGCAATTTATTGAAAGTCTTTTTAAAAATATGTTACAGATTTCGAGAAAAAATAAAAAGCATTTGATTTCAGTTCGAAAATAACAGAAATTCCCCTTAAAGTAAATAAATGTTATTTTTTTATTTTCAGATAAGGCAGATGAGCGATGAAGATCTCAGAGATATTGGATTAACTTCTAATGCTGTTGGGCAATTGCGAAACATTGTAAAAAGTCAAACTTCAAATGGATTAAGTCAAATGACCAGCGATAAGAAAGGAGAATATCTTAATAATTCATCGAGTATTGGAGATCAAAAGGATAACGAGGTAATTCTTCTTCAAACATTTTTCTGGAGAAAACTATTTATTTTAACCCATTAACGCCGGGATGTACATTATCTATGACCTTTTTAAAAGCGAAGAAAAATATAATGCCGATAAATAGTAAACTTTTGTTTATACTTTATACATATAAAATCGCGTCAGCGTCATAGGTGGGGTTAAATGGATGGAAAAACAGAGCCCATTGTAATTGTCTGAAACAAAAATCATTGGTATATTTTTAATCCTATAGGCCACGAGCACAAACTAAATCATCTCACTACATTCTCCAATTAAATTCCGGATTAATCTGAAATTAGTTCGAATATAGTCAGGCTTCTGTTACCCGAAATTAGTCCGTTTACCCGATTTGTGGAAGTAGTAAATATTCGGAATTAATCAGGTCAATTCCGGACTGATCTCGGATTTATTTTTTCGTCTGGACTGATTGCTGACGAATCCGGATCATTTTCGGACTAATTTGGACTGATTGGTATTTTTAGGTCCAAACTTTTTAGATATTTGTTAGCTCTTGATAATTAAAATGTATTATTTTTTTATTTTTATTTCACTTGTTTTAATATTGTCAATTTTAATCATACTATTTTAATGTTAATTCTTCATTCTATGTTATGTTTGTAACAAAATAAATTTTATTCTATTTAATACCATTCTGCAGTTGTCAGACTTTTGTTTTCTTGAGAGTAGTAGAGTCTGTTTTTGGTTTTTGTTGTATGTTTTTATGATTTCTGCTGTTATAATCATCAAAAATTGTTATATTTTTCATCTTTATCATTGGTATTCAATTTTAGATTGAAATGAATTTTTGAATTATCAACATATTATAAATTGTATTGTACTTAAATGATTGTACTCATGGTTTCCTGGGACAAAATACAGAAATAATAATAATATATAGTTTTCAGAAAATTTGTGGTGATTTATGGGTAGTTTAAAGAAAAAAGTGGGCACTTAAGTTGCATAACAAAATTTATAATTCTTGTAAAACTGTAATGAAATGTTGATGACACTGGTACTGTCCTAGGGATGAAGTTAACTTGGCTTATACATTTTGAAAATGTATTATGTATATTAAAGTAGGCATTAAATTCACTCGTCGGCATCTCGTAATGTTACAGATGTCCTCTGGCTTGGAAAATAGTGACGTGAATATGAATGCCAAGTCATTATCAGGGCAAGAACATTCACCAATTCCTCAACATCAGAGCCATTACAGTGTACCAAATATTCGGCGTTATCCAAATATACCACCTATGGATCCTTCGAATATGCAAATGTACGCCACACCTCCAATGTATGCAGCTCAAGCTCCACCATGCTATGCATGCCTTGCGGTTCCCTTGGCTGGAGTACAAAATCGATATTCCAGGTAATATATTTTACAAAACAAAATTTAATATTTACAAAAAAAATTTACAGTAGAGAAAGAAATAAAAATTTTTAAGTTATTTTTATTTTTTGGTAAATATATACAAAATAGCAAAATTAAATTGAAATTTTGAATTTACAGATGTAATGCTCAACATGTTTACTGTTTGGGACAACTGCAGGCTTTGAGGTTAGACCCTGAGAACAATCGACATTGTTCTCAAAGTAGTAGCTCGGAGAGCACAGGGAGTCGCTCTCCGCCTGAAACACCTCCGGCAGCTGCCTGGGTGGGTGGTGCGGAAGTGAATCCTTCAATACCATCGGCTACGGATCATCTTGGTTCAACGCCGGTTCATTCTGTTGCATCATCTCTTCTTCCTCAATCACAACCAATGCCACCACCGCCCGAAAGGCAGCGAAATAGAAAAAGTCAAACACACGTTGTGCGACATAAAAGTCAAATGGTAAATGGAGCAGGACTGCCAAACGTTCAACATTGCATGTCATTTCCTATGCCACCGCCTCATTCACAGTTTACGTATTTACCGCACGGTCACTATCCAAGTATGCGACCAAGTAGTGGAGTTTATTCGAATTTTTCACCGGCGGTGTTTGCTCGGCCTGCATTTCCGACCACTTATCAACCCAATGGAGAGATGATGTACCCTTATCATGGGCTTCCAGGATCGGGAGGAACTCCGCCACCACCTCAGAATTCTATGCCTCCACCTCAGCCCTACATGCCACCGCCACCTGTAGTAACTTACACACCTGCCGTCCCCCCTGCGAAGATATCGTGCTACAACTGCGGCAGCAACAGCCATCTTGCAACTGACTGTAAGGATCTAACCATGGAAGATCTTACTAAACGAGGTATAATTTATTTCTAAATACTTTTTTTTCCTTCACATTCTTGCTCATCGTTGTTCATGTTTTCAACCTAAAAAAAATTCGGATAGGGTATTTATCTGTGTCGTCCCCTCTTTTCGAATCTGGAAGAAAACTTAACTTTTGACTTAATGAAAAAAAGACTAAACAAAAAAAAGAACACGATTTTTTGTAGTTTTTTTTCCATTAAACTAAATTCTTGGTACGCATGAATAAGCTCTAAAACAACATTTTTAGAATTATGATTTAAGAGAATTTTATTCTGTAGAATATTACTTTTGCAAAATATTTCATGGTTAAAATATTAATTTATCTAAATTTCCAATAGACCGAATATTAATCAGGCATTCTATCTCAAATCGTTCCACTTTCAAAAGACGATCGCTGGCAGAGCGTTTTTTAAGTTAATTTTTTTGTATAAAACATTAAATATTTTTGTAATGTTACACACTATTTCGAAAGAGAATTTAACAACCTTTCGATAATTGGTTTAATTTAAAAAAATTTTATCATATTGGAAAATTTAGCTTGGAATGTCTACTTTATAATCCCGTTGGGCGCTTTTTGAAATTCAAAATAGCAACTTAAATATGGCGCCTAAACGACATAAAAAACACAACAAATCCACTAATATGATCTATATTATTGTTTAAAGCTTCACATATGACGATAAAAATAACCACAACATAGTTTACTTACAGAGTGATAACGTATCTCCATTCAAAATTCAAAAATTCAAAATGGCGGATAAAATTAAAAATTGAGATAGGCTCGTGAAAATTACTACTTGGGGGTTTTCGAGGTCGCTGGTTACAAATTTGATGTCAGTTTTTAAAAATAATAAATGGCGGATTCAAAATGGCGGACAAAAAATTTAAAAAATTGAGCTAATTTCGTAAAAATGTCTACATAGGGGTTTTTTTGATCGCTGATTACAAATCCGATGTCAGTTTTAAAAAAATTTTAAATGGTTGATGACAAATCTCTATTTAAAATTCAAAATGGCGGATAGAATTAAAAAATTAAGCTAGTCTTGTGATTATTAATTAAATAATCCTCACGTAATTTCCATAAAAAGTTATCTGGCGTTGTATATGATAAGTTCAAATGGCACTTTTTTACGTTCAATATAAAAAAGTTAGATCAATTTTTTATATTTTGGTCCACCATTTTAGATTCACCATTTTGATTTTTTAAAAAGTAACGATGAATTCGTAAAGATTGTCCTGAAAAACCCTTAGGTAGACATTTTAACGAGTTTAGCTCAATTTTTTGGATTTTTGGTCCGCCATTTAGAATTTTTAAAAAGTAACTTCAGATTCGTAATCAGTGACCCCGAAAACCCCCCTAGTAAACAATTTCACGTGTTTAACTCAATTATTTAAATTTTGGGCTACTATTTTAAGTATGCCATTTTGAATTTTTAAAAACTAATAACGGACTTGTAATCAGCGACCCCAAAAAACCCCGAGTAACAAAGTTTCAGTCGATTCTAAACGATTTTTCAATTTTTGTCCGCCATATTGGATCCGCCATTTTGAATTTTAAATAGAGATTTTTTGTGTTTTTTATGTCGTTTAGGCGCCATATTTAAGTCGCCATTTTGAATTTCAAAAAGCGCCCAACGGGATTATAAAGTACACATTCCAAGCTAATTTTTCCAATATGATAAAATTTTTTTAATTTAAATCAATTATGGAGAGATGGGGTGGTCCGGTTGACAAAGAACTTCCCATTATTAATTTTCAAATTATTCTTCAAATTTATTTTGTTAAAAATTAAATATAATTATTATCAGATAAAGTCTTTAGGTTATTATTATTGTTTCAAGCTAAGGGGGGAGGTGGGTCCGAGAATCGTGACGAAGTGTGACATGGGGGAGGAGGGGGTTAGCTTGTGCGTTACGTCACACTTTTTTAAATGTTTTGTGTGCAACGACCAAGATTGTTTTTAATACTTTTATTAATTTAATTTTTATCGTTTATTCATCGATATGGTAAAAAATTGATATATCGAAAGTTAAACATCGATCTCGAAACATACATGTCGGTTCTTTTGAGATAAAATTTAAAGATGCCTAGTGTAATGTATTTAAATATACCTGGTTTTGCCCCACCGTTTGGTACCCGGTTTTGCCCCGCATTGCATTTTTTAACAAAATGTAAAATTCCCAGCTTATTGTTAAGAATTTAACAATTACTTGTAAAGAAAATTACTCGTAAATAAATGCTGAAAAAGATGTTATACTTACCGAAACGAATATATCGACACAAAAAATTTTATAAGTGATTTACTTTCGATAAAAAATAATGGATTTTCTTTTGACCTAAAGTTTAAAAGTCGTATAAAATATAAAAAACAAATTTTTTTATAGTGGTTATATAATTAAAATGATGTTGGTTGTAATATAAAAGGTATATGTAATGGGTGACACAAATGGAAATAATATATCTATCATGGAAAACTGGGGGTACCCGGTTTGACCCGCCTACCGGGTTTTGACCCACTCACCCCTAATGATTTCGATTAAAAATATATTAAAACTTTTGCAATTACCTTTAAAATTTTTCTACAATAGTAATATGTCTTTTTTACAAACAACATACATTTGTAACAATTAAGTCGCATTAAATCTTAAATATAATCTCAAAACGAAGATTGATCAATTTTCTTCTGAAGTAATCTCATCCTATGTTAAATTTTTTAATTCTACATTAATTGTATCGATTTTCTTTCGCGTGTCTTCTAATAATTTCTGTTTTTTTAATAGAAAGCTCTTTAATTTTTTGAGTAAGAATTTTTCGTTTATTTATTTGTTCCTTTTCTTGAGTTTTTATTTTGTTTTTATCTTTGACTTGATTTCAAATTTTTTAAAATGTCTTTTCAACAAATTTAATAGAATATATTAGTTTTAATGTAAATTTAATTAAAATTCCCGGTTTTTATTAAAAATCCTGGTTATTTCCCGGCTTTTTTCCGGTATACAAAATTCCAGTCTAATTCCCTGTATTCCCGGTCGGTGGCCACCCTGAAATTATATGTGATGATCTAAAATATTTTAAACTATTTAACCCCTTCGCTGTGAGGAGCAAAATCTTAAATGTCAGTGGGTCCAAAATGTTAAGAAACTTTTATACTACCAAAATTTTTGAAACTGAATGCAATTAGGTTTTCGAGGTCACTGATCACGAATCTGAACTCCGTTTTCAAAAATAAAAAATGGCATATCCAATATGGCGGACATATTTTTTTAAATTCGGCGGAGTTGCTTGAAACACGTTACTCGGAGGGTTTTCGGGGTCGCTGATTACAAATCTGATATTAGTTTTTCAAAATTCAATATGGTGTGTCCAATATGGCGGACAGGAAAATTAAAAATCAATCGAATTTACTTAAAACTTATTACTCAGAGATTTTCAGTGTCATCTAAATTCAAATTTTGATTTTATAAATAAAAAACAGTGGATGAAATATAGTGAAAATCCCCGCAGTTAGCTAGTAAATACTCTCTAAATTTGAATTAATAGAAAACTACTAATTCAATAGCGAGAATGGAGCAACTAATTGAAAATAGTTAAATTCAACTGAAATATCAGTTAAAATAACTAATTGACAGTTAAATAATTTGAGGTTATGTTTGAAAATTACTGAAATATTAGTAGATTTCGTTTTGTTATTGTGTCAGTAACGTTTTCTACTAATAATTAGTGTAATTTAACTAATTTTTCAGTTATTTCTTACTGTCAATTAGTTAATTTTTACTAATTGATGTAGCGAGAATTGAGCCAGGTTTTGCGACTAATAATCAGTAGTTTTCTACTAATTCAGATTTAGAGAGTAGTTTAACAGTTATCTACAACCCTAGAGTGAACCACGTGCCCCGAAAACCCTTGAGTAACAAATTTTAAGTAAACTCTATTGATTTTTAATTTTCCTGACCATATTGGAACCGCCATTTTGAATTTTGAAAAACTAACATCAGATTCGAATACAGCGACCCCGAAAACGCCAGAGTAATAAGTTTTAAGTATAAATTTTAATCAAAACTTGCGTGACGTATTATGTGCACGACCTCCTTCTGGAAAATTAATTTTTGTTTGAATAGAATTATTTCTTTAACATTGATAGACGGTTTAATAGAAATTCTGCTAAATTAATATTTAAATATTCTACAAAAATAATATTCTACAGAGTAAAATTATATCAAATCATAATTCTAAAACAATTTGTTTTAGTGTTTATTCATGCGTCCCAAATTATCGATTTAAACTCGCTGAAGAAAAAGCCCTGAATGTCAAAATATCACTTTTAAAATGTCTACCCTATCACATATAGGCAGGATAAATTTATAAGAAATAGTTAAGAAAAACGTTTCCTAGCCGTTGCAGAAATCGCTGTTACCCGATTCTCACCACTTGGAGGTTAACGTTTTTAGGGAATCTTTTTTTTCAATTTTTATGTTTTTTTAATTAATTTCTAACTTTTACATAATATTGTGACGCGCTCTGAAAAAGGGGACCTTAGAAACAAACGAATTACAGGTTATGTTTACGGCAATTTAACATAGAATAAAAGTTTATATTTACTTTTGTAAAATTAAAATCAGTTATTAAATATTTTGGATGTAATAAAAACTTAAATATCAATTATTTCTATTGAGAGTTGATTCACTTTGTGTATTTTCAATTTAAAATTTCAAAACATAACCTATATTTTTTTGCTTCTAAGGTCCCTTTCTTCAGAGCGCATCACATATGCTTAATTAAAAGTGTCCCTCTTTGAGAAAACTCACTTTTTAACTTTAATTTCAACGTTTTTGCTGCTTCCGTTATAAGTGATACTACGTGATACTACTTTTTTGGGTAAAAGTAAGGGGTCTAATTGCTTCTTTGGGTTAAATTGCGGTTTAAAATTGTTTAAAGGGTTACCGTTTGTAAAAAATAGTTTCATAAGCTGTGTTACATTCAGCTAAAGGGCAAAAAAATATTATAAAACCGAAGTTTTGTCCCAAGTGTAAAATTAAAAGGCCAAAAGCAAACACCGTGTACATTAAAAAAATATTTTTTATACCTTAAAATTCAGGAATGCCACACTTCAATCGCTGATCGTGTTCAAAAATATAATTCTATGAACAATTTCTAAAAGTCAAATATAAATATACTTAACTTATACATGTCAAAATATTACCTTCTTTAATTGCACAATAAATAAGTAATATTAAATTAATTAATAATTAGATACTTTCTTTCTCTAGAAAACGGATACTGATTATTTAGAATAAAATTTGCTTGTCAAAAATTGGATATTGATTATTAGTGGAAATTAATTCTTCCTACAAGGAAAATACTAAAATTAAAGCAGAGATTATCGAGAAAGGATAAAATTAAAATGTAAAATTAATTGTAAGGAAAAGGATTTACATAATAGAAAACAGTGACAAAAAAATTTGATTCTGTTGCATAAAATTGACGAAATAATTTTAATTTCAGCTCAGTATCGAATAGACTACTCGAATACGAAACAACCTGGAGAGTGTTCGAGTTTAGAAAAGTGATCCCCTACCAAGGATAACCCATCCGCTATTTACCTTCTATATTGTAATTACTTTTGTCATATAATTTATAATATTATATATTTACTATATATAATATTGTCACCTTTGATAACATGTATATGAATAAGTTATACTAATGTAAATAGGATATATATTATGTATATAAAATTAGCGTGGCTGTCAGTAACAAAGATAATCAGACGCAATATCATTACCACTGCACGACTGTGTCTGAAATGTAAATCAAAATAAGAAAAAAAAAAAAAAAAAAAATACTGATCCAATTAGTCTTCAAAGCTAGCATTTTTTTAATTATCAACTTGTCATCAATCACTTTGTTATATATACCTTTGACAAGTTTTAATTTATATTAGTAACTATGTTATTATTATTATTAAAATGATTATTGTTATTATTAGTGTAAATACGACGATAAATAACTTTGTGTACAAAATATAACTAATTTCACATTCTTATTATACTTGTTTTTAGAATATATGTTGCAGATATTATAAAAAAAACCAATTTCAATGTTGATATTTCCTTATGATTTTCAACAGTAGAAATTAGAAACAGTGAAACAAAATAGAGAACAAAATTTTTAACAAAATACCGTACTTTGATATCGAATTGTATAATTCGATTTCAAATATTATGTTATTTTGTGTATGGATGTGTAAGTCTTAAAATGTAGATTTTAACACTTCCACTACTATTACTATTGTTGATTAAAAAAGAAATAACAATTAAAATATATATTGACAGAGATTTCTAATTATACAAATTAAAATTTTTTACAACTATTAGCTTAAGAGAATCTTATAATTAATGTAATGTATGTGAATAAAACTTTGATCTTTTTCCCTTTACTTGGATTAACAAACGTTATCATCAAAAATTATCAAATTGGATTCCTTGTAAGGGCAGATGTATATGGTACTAAACATCTATTTATGCTTGAAGCAATTTTTAAAATAAATCTTTTAAAAGATACTTTTTCTCATTTTTTTAAAAACATTATATCATTTAAAACATTCTACATCAGATAGGATTTGTTCCATTTTTAGAATTCCGTTTTACAAGCGACCGTGAATAAACAATCAATTTTAATCCTTTTCGATTTGGTGTACTCCACGACCCTAACTTTTAAAATTATTGACCTAAGCAGCTGAATTTTATTAATATATATTTACGTGGGGACGCATGATTATGATTGCACTGCTAACTTGATATCAAGTTAGCAGTGCAACCACTGTAAATGAAAGGATAAAAAAATCTGAACACACATGATTTTGTCGTAAATTTGCCGTAATCAAATCCCACAATTAGTTTCTCAAAATATTTAAAAATGACACTAAACTTCGCAATATTCTATCAGAATTTTCTAAAATTTATATTCTTCCATCTTCAAAATCATTTTAATATAATTAGTAAGTCGAAAACGACATATTTAAACGAAGCTGAAATACGCAACGTTTATATAAACGATTTTTAAAGAAATAATTTTTTAAAATGAAAAATTCTATAATTTTTTTCCTAAAAAATATTTTTTTATAATTTAATTATTTATGAAAACTCCAAGAACTACAACTACAAGAAATCTTATTTTTGACAAAGATTTTCGACTCTACTATTACATGTATACGTTATAATTCTTACAAAAGTCAAATATTTTATTTGGCGTAGTTTTTCTTCACAAATAATTAAATTAGCTGAAACGGTAAATTCCTATGGCACAGAAAAATTGTCAAAATTATTTCTGACCTACATTTTTCACTGTTCTGCTATCTTTTTAGATATTTATAAGTCAGATAATTTATTAGACGTACTTATTCTTCACGAATAATAAAACTAGCTGCTAAGGCAAAAAACCAATGCAAAGAAAAATTCTCCAAATTATTTCTGATCCAGATTATAGACTGTTTTGCTAACTTTTTATCATGTTAATTATAAAAAATAGTCAAATAATTTTTTTGACGTATTTTTCTCTCCACGAATAATTAAATTAGATGCTACGGCAAAATCCCAAAGCATTAGAAACGTGTCAAAATTATTTCTGACCGAAATTTCCGACTGTTTTGCTAACTAATTTCACGAATAATTAGCGGCAAATTAGTGGCAAATTCTCCAATATGAGATTTTTGATTTTACGAAAGTTGTTTTTCTAACTTGATACACTCTCTAACAATCATTAGTTAGAATTTTCAATTTATGAAATTTCATTTGTCATAATTATTTTCGAGTAGAATTTTTATTTGTTCGAATTAGTATTTTGCAGAATTTTCATCAAAACGATTTTCTATATTACCGAATTTTTAAATAACCGAAAATTTACTTCACAGAATTTTTATTCGCTCGAATTTCCATTTAACATAATAGGCATTTTAAAGAATTTTTATTGGGTAGAATAGGTGATGTTAGTAATTTTTAGATTGGAAATATACAAAGTGGATCAACCCTTAATCACAGAAAAGTCACTGAAATCAATTGTTATTTAATCAAAAATTTTATCATTGCTGATTTCAAACTTGAACTTAAAAATTATATTATTAATAAATTTGAAATTCGTAGTTTTTTGAATAAAAAATGTTATTTTATCCAGTATTCCTGAACAATATTATTTATTATAATTATATTAAGTTAACAAATTTACAATAACGGCATCGATAGCATTTTATGCAATTTTTTTCAATATTATACTAATAAATAAACCAATTTCAGGTTTATCAAATAAAATACACTAAAATATTTCAACCGAGCGAGTGAGAAATATATCGCTAATCTTTATTAAACAGAAATACTTTAAATTTTAGATTCAACCGAATTTTCATTTTAACAAAATATTGTTTAATGTAATTTAGTATGAAAAATTGTTTTTCTTGAGATTTTAGAAAAATTTTTGGTCCGAAATCCTAAACTTTTCGGATGTGATGTAACTTGAGACGGGGTTATATGAAACTAATATTTAAAAAGTAATTTTGGGGTAATGTGACACAAAGACGTGGTATAATGGCAAATGTTTTTAAAAAATTTTGATAAAATTATACTAATATTTAAAAATAATATAATGCAAGGTAATGTCACGCATAGACGGGGTAAAATGACAAGATCTTAAAAACTTCTCGCGAGTCTGTTTTTATATTAATAAGGCAAAATTCATGAAATTTCTAAGTTTTGAGAATTTCTTTTTCAATCTACGATATTTATAAGTGAAATTTGTAAAAGTTCAAATATATAGAACGATTTTTGAAGGTTTTCTTACAGGCGATAAAAGTTTTTGTAAAAAAATAAATTCCACTTTGAAATCCAGGGTTGAAAATATTAATTTGCATATATTTTAAAATTAGAAATTTTTTTCTTTTCCAAAATTGCCATCAAATTCATAATAAGCGACCCCAAAAACCCTAGAGTAACAAGTTTCAACTGAATCGGACAAATTGTTTAAAAATTCATTCGCCATTTTGAATTTTTGAAAACTGATTTGTTTGTAATCAACGACCCCAAATTTACCTTTTAGGGTCAGATGGGGACAAAATCCCTATTTTTCTCAAATTACATAAGCTTCATCCTTTAAAAGATAATATTTTCAGATTTCTTTTTTTTCTAAGTTATTATTTACATTCCCAAGATTAATTTTATGCGGCAGAAAAAAATTTTGATAAGCTTTAAAACCATGAAACTGACTGTCTCCATTTAGCCCAAGATTTAATAAATTTCCTAACATTTGGGGTAAATGGGAACAGCATAGTTTCTACGAAAGGTTTAAGAAAAAAGTTTCCTTAAATATTAAGGGATACTGTATTAAGGAATGAAAATGCTTGAAAAAATTTGTAATATAGCGGACAAACTAAAAAATTTTCTTATAAATTGATTAAATTTGCTTGGTTTATGTCTTTTATTTATTTATTTTTTTATTTCAGTATTTTGTCTCGTATTTCAAAGAAAACAGACTTAAAAACCATAGAAATTTTTTTTCTTATTCCTTATGATTTCCATATCAGAAATTCACTTGAATATTTGATTTTTGTCAATTTGGTTAATAATAACAAGCTGTCCCCATTTACCCCGAGTTTTCAAATTCTTAGAGTAAATGGGGACAGCTTGTTATTATTAACCAAATTGACAAAAATCAAAAATTCAAGTGAATTTCTGTTATGGTGATGAGATCTGATGTGATGTTATTCTCATGAGGAAACCGGTACCGATTTCGAAACGTTAAAGATGTTTTTTGATATATATCTTTCCTGTCCTAAAAAATTGCCAAATTTTAAAGAAATTATAATTTATTTTTTTTTTAAATTATAAAAATTAGAGGTGATTTTGAACACTGAAAAAACGATATTCTATATTTAAAAATGCCTACTTAAATAGGAGCCAAGAATATTCCAACAATAAATAATACATTCTTAATGTAAGAATACTTCCCACTTAATTTAAGTGGGGAATATTCTTGGCTCCTATTTAAGTATAGGCATTCTTAAATCTAGAATATCGATTTTTCAGTGAAGTTTTGATTTTTCAAAACACAGTTACACAGTTATTTTCTAATCCGTATAACTTTCTACAAAAATTTATGGATTTTAATTTAAAAAGAGGGTTTTTTGTTCAGTTTTTCATGTACTTTTCAATGCCTAAAAAGTTTTTTTCAAAAACAACTCTTATTTTTCATTTTTAAGCCCTTTTCCCCTAAATATTTTTTTTTGTTATTATTAATTGAAAGATGATATTTTTTTCCTAACAAAACTGTATAAATATAAAAATGTGACATTATTATGTTTAAGAGAACATGTAAAAAGAACCTACTTTTTTGCCCTGTTTTTAATATTTTCTCGCCAACTCAATGTTGTCCTATTTTTATATTTATACTGTTTTTTGGAAAAAAATCTCAGCTTTCAATAAAAATAACAAAAAATTTTGGGGTTTAAAAATGAAAAATAAGGGTTAATTTTAAAAAAGGGTTAAAAAATTTTTTTTTGAAAAAAACTTTTTAGATATTGAAAAGTACATGAAAAATTGAACAAAAAATCGTCATGATAAATTAAAATCCAAAAAGTTTTGTAGAAGTGATATATGAATTAGAAAATAACCATGTTACCTGAAAAATCAAAACATTAATTTCTACTTTTTATAATTTTTTAAAAAATAAGGTTATATTTTGTTACTTTTATATACACTGAAAAAACGTAACTCTAAATTTAAGTATATCTTCTTGGTGCCCATTTAAGGATACTTTATACTTAAATTCAGTATATACTCTTCTTAAAATATATTTCTAATATTAAGAGTATATTCTTATTTTAAATATAGTATATACTTAATTTAAGAATGAAATGTCTTTAAAGAGGCGCCAAGGAGATATACTTAAATTTAGATTTACGTTTTTTTTCAAAGAATAAACCTTTTTTTAAAAATATTAAGTGGAATAAAATTCCAGGGATTTTTTCAAATTTCCATGACTTTTCCAGGTTTTCTAGACCTTTTTTGGAAAATCCCTGACTATTCCAGGTTTGAATTTACTCTAATGTGGAGTGTAAGTGCTTTTTCCCCACTAAGAAATTTCTGTTTTCATTGAAAAAAATGTTACATTACACTTAATCTGTTAAAAATAAAGAAATTGTGCACGATATTGCAATTTTAGATGTATGATTTTATAGTTCTGGAACTCTTGGCACATCAGATATATATATCCACACTCGTATGCTTATGGTTATAGATTCACACTTTATATGACTTTATGACCTTTCTGAGAGTTAACATTATTCAACAGAGAGCGCTGGAACTGTGAAATTAGTACCGTGACCAGGATGATCAGTGGTGGCCTTAAGACCCAGTCACTACACAACCTTGCGACCCTTCGGTGCGTTTCGCTGAAAATCGGTTCTGCTCGACAATTTTCGAGTTAGCTCGGTAATCTTCGTGGCAAGCGAGGCCAACTAGTCGACACTCAGCCTCACAGGCAGTTTCCAACTGGCTGTGCCTAATTCTATGTATAACCAGTTTAATTCTGCTTGCCTGCAGCTGTTGAGGTATTATTTTGTGACTTTCACCATGTCGTCGCACGTACATAAGTACAAAATAGAAATTCGTGTTTCGTCAAGTCGCATCAGCAGTTGAGTGTAAATTTTTTTTATTCTGCCCTCGAAAGAAGTTGATTTTTTCACATCGACTTAACATATCGATCCAGTTTGTTCGTGATCTGATCGAACGCACGCGTTTTCGATCACGGGACTATGACGACGGAAGAAAGGAATGCAGCCTCGAGTCCTGCATCCGTAGTAGATTAGCCTCCCATGGGTATGTCACTCTCACAACTCAAGGCATTCACAAAGTTGTTCTCACATCTAAAAAGAAGGAGAATATAGGCGGTAGTGAATTGAATAAAAAAATTGTGATTATTAGACAAAATTTAGTGGAGAGAATGAAGTGTTGTGATTTACTTCGTAAGTGGAATACCGAAATCTCAAAGAAAACTCGACTAGTGTAGAGATATCGGATTGCTCATAAGTAAACTTGTTGATGATGACCATGTTTGGCACTATTGTCCAGAGGCTAACATCACCTGTGACCTCACCGACAAGTCCTCGTCGTCGCTTTAAATCACCATCTAGATGGGAAATTCAAAGTGATCCAGAGGATGACTCCATCGTACCGGTGAGAAAGTCGCGTGCAAAACATCTCTTAGATAAACGAAGAAGTAAAAGTCGTGCACGTTGCCTCAATGTTAGTGAACCACAACCCTGTGAGGATGGCTCGACATGGCAGGATATAGCTTTTCCGCCTTTACGTGGAACCAAGAGTCTTGGTCGACTGGATGGTATCAAAGAGGTAAAATATTTTCTCTTTTCAACTGCCACTATAACACGGAATATTCCATTCACATTCCGGGAATATTCCATTTGAGTATTCGGAATAATAAAATGTCCGACCTTCGGAATATTCCATTGGAATATTGATGGAATGTTTCGTTGAAATATTGAAGGAATATTCCGTTGGAATATGAGGAATATTCCTACAGAATATTGAAGGAATATTTAATTGAAACATTGTATGAATATTTTTTTCGGAATACACATTTGAAATTTATCAATTATTTGCAAATTTTAATTTAAAAACCATTTTTGTACTGTTTTAAAATTTATTTTTCAGAATTAATTTATATAAATACATAACTGAACGTATTTTATTTCAATGAAGACAAAATTAAAAAATTTGATAAGTAGAAGGTAGGAACATTATAAAATCAGTAATAATAGTTTCATTTTTCATTATTAAAAAATATATTCGTACAATGTTTCCATTGAATATTCCTTCAATATTCTGATGGAATATTCCTCCAACATTCCAACGGAATATTCCAATGGAACATTCCATCAATATTCTAGTGGAATATTCCGAAGGTCGGACATTTTAATATTCCGAATATTCCAATGGATTATTCCCGGAATGTGAATGGAATATTCCGTGTTATTGGGGAAAATAAATAAGCAAATTTAATATTTATGGACATAATTATAAGAGGGGTCGAGTTATTTAAAAAATTGATAATTTTAATTATTTTAACACACATAGCACATTATCTTACTGTAAGCTTACCTTGATCCAACAAAATATATTACTGAAGTTTACAGTGTAAACTTAGTGACCTTACAAAGCACAATTAATGTAAGTTTACAAAATTTATGTTTAAATAATTATAATATTTACTTTTTTTTTTTTGAAAATTATTACACAGTAATTTGTGGGATATTATTTTAATACCAATAAGGATTAAAATAAACTGACGCATGAATAATGCCTAAAATAATTTGTCAGAATTTTTATTTGATAAAATTTAATTTGTTAGAATTTTTATTTGATAGAATTTCATTAGCTAGAATTTTCTTTTAGTCGAATTCATATTTTTTTGAATTATTTTTTGACAAAATTTCCATAAAACCAATTTTCTATATCAGAGAATTTTTTTAATAAACAAAAATTCACTTTACAGAATTTTTATTTATTCGAATTTTCATTTAACATGATATTCATATTACAGAATTTTTATACTTAACCGAAAAATTCGTTTAACAGAATTTCAATTTGATTAACTTTTTGATTTACAGAACTTTTATTTGTTCGCATTAAATTCCGACAGAAATTTTTGAGCGCGAATTTCAAAATTAACCAATCAGAAATTATCCAGAAAATTTTTATTGGTTAATTTTAAAATTCGCGCCAAAATATATTTCTACTGAATGTTTATTCGAACAAATGAAACTTGTGTCAAATAAAAATTCAACCAAATAGAAATTCTATTAGATGAATTTTCGGTTAAGTAAAAAGTCTATAAACAGAATTTTTCTCAAAATGTAGTTAAACAATTTTTTAAAAAAATATTTTTCTTAACTTTACTAACAATTTTACTAATTAATTTCTTTTTAATTTCTGGCCTGTTTGTTTGAAAATGGATAAAATACTAATAATAATAATAAAATTAAGTTTTATTAGTAATTTAATAAAACTTTTGTTAAACAATTATATAAACAATTTTTTTCTTAAATGTGATTCAGTATCAGTAAATTTTTTAGAGTAGCATGAATAATAGAATTAACAATTAACAAATTTAAATTTTATAAACGAAAGTATAAATGTAAAATTAAAATTCGGACTCATATTAGAAATTTAAATAATTTTTAAACTAAAAATCTTATACAAATTTTTTTATTACCTATATATTTTTTTTTATTCAAAAACTTAATTTTTTTCAAACTATTCAATAAAATAACTTTCAGTATATTTAGATTCATTTAAAAATATTTGTATTATATTTGTATTAAATATTTGTATTTGTACAATGTTAAAAAAAATCAAACGAGAATTTAATACACCATGAAGTGGGATAAAGTCGGAATTTAAAAGTAAATAGGAGTGACTTAAATAGATTTCTAAAAAATAGGATCATTTAGCTCTGTATTTATATCCACTTCTAATTATGTTTTTTTGTCCTCTTCACTTACATAAATGGCTTTATATCTTTTATTTTGTAAAAAATCTTTGTATCTCATGAATGAGTTATGTGATGAGAATGTTTACACGTCATGCAGACTTATTTTCCACTCCCCCTTCTTTAACAATCCTCAACAAATTCGATATTATGCGGTGAATATGCAAAAATTTATAACTTATTTGTTATAATTTCCATTAAAAAATATTATAAGAAAAAAAATGTATTCAGTTTCAGTCAAGAAACATTTTTGTCAGAAAATGAGGAATTTTAATGTTTTTAAAAAATTCTTTTATTACATAACTATGGCTTGACTGAACTAGTCAAAACAGAAACCATTATTTTATAATTTTACTTATTGTGTTAAAGAGTAAAATTTCCAGAAAAGTGAAGTTATGTGGAAAAATTAATGAAAAATTCTCATGTAGCTTTAAGTATAGATATTTTGATTATCTTATGGAAAAATATTAAATATTTTTAGAAATTAATTTACATGACATATACAAGTGTCTAATGACACTTTTTTAAACAAAAAATATGTATTTATTTTGTATCATAAAAAGTTTGATCAATTTCTTAATGTAAAAAAAATTGAGTTGACAAATTTGTATGACAAAGCAAGGAATTTTCATAAGATATTTTTTTATTAAGTGTTAAAAAAATCGGTCGTAACTTAATTCTCTTTACGATAGAACTTCATCCTTAAGATAATTAATTCGTCGTTTTCCTCGTCTTCAGAAAAATTTAAAAAATATAAATTTGTGTTTCTGTGTCAAACCAGGAGTTTTTATTATTACTTTTCGAAGTAATCTTACAAATTTAAATGAAACTTGGTGTAGTTTTTTGAGTAATGTCAATTGTTTATATTTAAAAGATACAACAATAAATAATGAAAAAATCAACTTTTAAATCACATCACCAAAAATGGCTAACAGTTCAAAATTCTCCTTATTTTTCCAGTTTTCATATTAAAAAAAATTGAAGTAGATCCTTCGTTTTAATTTTCTCAAAATTTTAGAAATTCTTTTCCATTACAAAAAAAAACAATTTTCTTGGACTTATATATCAGTAAATATTATACTACCAAGTTTCGTTTAAATTTGTAAGGTTACTTCGGAAAGTAATTTAAATAAAACTCGCACAAATCCTTCCAAAAAAAACCGCATAAAAATATCAAATTTTATCGATTGCACTTGAATGTATAATTGAACTGAATAAGCATTGAGAATGTTGTAAATATGAACATAAAAAGTTGTGCTTGATAGTATAAATTGAACTGATGAAGATGGCGCTGCAGTTGATTCACTTAACGAGACACAATGTGTTACTCTCATATAAAATTGCAAGACAATGTGGAGGGGGGATAAAAATTCTGGGAAAATTTGCGTGACGGCATATCATGTCAACGTTCTCAATGAAATTGTTGAAATTTCAATTACGAATGGAAATAAACGGTGAAAGGGACCTTAGCTGCAAACAAATTTTAGGTTATGTTTACTAATAGTCTTCGCTTGAAGACTATTTTGAAGACACTTTTAATTATGTAAAATCAAAATCAGTGTTTATTGAATATGTTGGATCTAATAAAAACTTAATCTCCAGTGGTTTGTACTGAAAGTTGTATATTTCTCTTTGTATATTTTCTATTCAAAAATTACAAATATAACCTAGAATTTTTTGTCCCTAAGGTCCCTTTTCTTGTGGTGCGTCACATATAGAAAATCAGTTTAATGGAAATTAAAAAAAAATTCATACAAATAAAAATTCTAAAAGAAAATTCTGTCTAATGAAATAAGAAATAAAAATTCTAAATCAATTTTAGGCATTATTCATGCGTCTCTACGTATTACTGTATCAAGTTTCATATAAAAAGTTGTACTATCTGATTTGTTTTATGTGACAAAAATCTTAGCCTGGAATTGTGTTTCATTGTTTCAGTATTATTAAAGAAAAAAAATGGGGTTTTCTAGTAAATTTGTAGTAAAGAGTTGGGTCGTTAAATTATATCGTAACGAAGAACGTGTATTAAAGGTCACGTCAATAAAAGACTGATCGACGTGACAAAGAGAGGGTGAAGAGAAGAAAATAAAATTCTGTGAGCTGTCGGTGTGGTTGCTTATGTTACTGCTACTCTGCTACTGTTACTGCTACTGACGGTCGGTGACCTTGAGTGCAGATTGTCTGCCTTTCCTTGTCTTGCTTCTTCTTTTCTTTCTATCTCTGTCGCTCCGTTTACCTCCAGTTACACCTCTTTCTGAGCTCACTCGTTGGCCGACGTCTTACTTTCTCTGTAAAGATTTTTTCTGTATAGTAAAGGTGCGTCCGCTATCATGAGGAATTTTCCATACCTACTGACGAGAACTACCAATATGTATAGTTGCCAATATATGGATTTTCAAAAAAGAAAAACGTTTTAAATCAATATTTTTTTTTATTTAATAAATCATTTAAAAAAGAAAATAATTTCAGCAACAAAAGTTGGTTTATTGAAAAACATTTGAAACTTTGAATAATCCTTAAAATGGACGAATTCGCAATACCGAATGATTAATGTTACAAGTATCACAAGTTCGCTCGAACATGCTCGAACTCAATGTTGATAAAATTCGACCTAAGACAAGTTTCGATTTTTCCACTTTTGAAACGGATAATTGAGCAACTAAGAAATTAGGACTTTTATATAACTTCTTTGAACAAAATAAAGAAATTCAGTTCTAATTTAATTCGGAAATAGAAAAAAAGTACTGAAAAGTACTCTTTACTTAGGTTTTTCGACAACGAGATATATAAATAATGCGTAAAATAATTTTTCAGAATTTGAATTGATAGAATTTTCATTTAGCCGAATTTTTATTTGTTCTAATAATTTTTTCACAAAATTTCTATTAAAACGATTTTTTATATTGCAGAATTTTTATATAACATTTTTTATATAGCATTTACTTAAAAAAATTCCTATTTAATCGAATTTTTCTTTGACAGAATTTCTATTTGTTCGATTTTTCATTTGTTAGAGTAGACATTTAAATGGATTTTTATTTAGCAAAATTTCATAACATATAATTTCCTTTTGGAAGAATATTAAATTGTTCGAATTATTATTTGATATAATTTCCATTTCAACGAATTTTTATTCAATATAATTTTTACTTAGCAGAAAATTCAATTAACAGAATTTGACAGAACTTATTACGCTGAAGTTACCAACGTTGATTCGACGAATTTTTTGTTATAAGATTAGTTTAAAGGTCAAGAAGCAATTTCTATTTTATTGAAACTTCTTTATTTTGGCTCCAAATACATCCTCAAACACTTAACATCCTCAACAAAGGAGAGGAAATATTCAATCTTAGGAAAAAAAAATTCTTTTCGATGAAACAACGTTGGTAACTTTAGTGTCATCAGAACTTTAATTGATTCGAAAAAACATTGAACAAAAACATTTCGGAGAGAATTGTTAAAATTAACCAATGAAATTACGAAACAAAATTTGATTGGATAATTTAAAAATTCGCGCCGAAATGTTTTTGCCCAATGTTTTTTTTCAACAAATTAAAGTTCTGTCAAATGAAAATTTTAAGTCAGTTTTTGTTAAATGAATTTTCGGTTGTGTAAAAAATCTGTATTATGAAAAATTGGTTATATATATGTTATGAAATTCTGCTGAATAAAAATTCGTTTAAATTTGTACTCTATTTAATAAAAATTCTAGCAAATGAAAATTTGTAATATAAGTTCAGTTTTTAAAAATTCTATAATATAGAGAATCGGTTTAACGAAATTATGTCAAAAAATAATTTGAACAAATATAAATTCGGTTAAAAAAAAAGAAAATATCTAATGAAATTCTATCAATTAAAAATTCTAAGAAATTAGTTTTAGGCATTATCCATTAGTCTGTTTAAAAGTCTGAGGGATCGTCATTAAGACCCTGACAGCCCAGAGACCCTAAGACGAAATTTTAGATGAACTTAACCCCCTACATTGAGAAAACGATATTTTTAGTTGAACCATAGTATGTTTAATTCAAACTTAGTATATCTTTGCTATGCAGTCAAACATATTTAAGTTTAATTCAATAATACATTTTTGTTGATAAAATTTGATTTAAAAATAAATTTTGTTAAAAATACAGTAAATTTAATACACACAGAATAAACTTTAACTTAAAATAATCTGTGGAACATTCGAATTGTGAAACTTTGCAGGGAATGGTAGCTGTTTTCGTTACATGACGGGGAACTATAAGTGTAAAAAAATGTCACATTTCGGACGTTCTACTGGATTTCCAGTGTTAAATTAAACAAAATCGTTCAGAAAAATTTCTATATTTAAATTAAGAATTCTACCGCGAATACAATGTTTTATGTAAAATAATAAAAACGATTGACATAATGTATATCAGTACCGCCCCCCTATGAATCTATTTTCATTTAACGCTCATCTAATTTAGAGTCTGAAATATTTTGCTTATCAGTAGTAACATTATCGACTTATATTTTTATAAGCAAATTAATTTTTTTTAACTTTAGATCCGATTTTTTGTAAATTTCTTTTTATTTTTGAAAGTACTAAGAAAATTTTGCAAAAAGTTTTAGAGGCCCTGATAATACTTTTGGATTAAATAATTAGTTTTAAATTGTAAAAGAAGATAGATTAATTTAAAATATTAATTTTTTAAGACTTTTATTTCTAAAGTCAAAAATTAAAATTTTATTTATTTCACCATGTTTTTAGGACCCAAATGATGCCAAAAGAAAATATAACTTCCTGCGATCATTAAAATTTAACGGATTTAAAATGAAGGTGGTGACTCCCCTTAATTTGTGTTATAAAAAAATTTTATTTTTTACATAAAAATTAATTTTTTTCTTAGTTAAAATATTTCAAAAATCGAAGAAAAACTAAAATATTACATTAAATTAAGGTAATTATTTTATAAAGCCATTCAATTTATTATAAACTTTAAGAAAAATTATCATCTGTATTTGCAATTACTGAATCGTGAATTAAGAAAAAAATTAGCATCAAATTTTTAATACTAAATTTTCAGTAATAAAAAAAAATTGCATATTCGTATAAATTCATTTCATGTGTAGAATAAGTGACTATACTTAAATTAACTGACTTGAAGTAAGATTGTATTCATCCGCATCCGGGAGTTAAAGAGAAATCAGTTTTCCTGTACCTGTATTCATATACCTAAAACCGACACTGACAAATAATTACACTATGCTTAACTGTTACTAATTTTTCTATTTCTTTTTTATCGAAATCGCAAAGAGATTTATGAATTTATTTATTTAGACTCTTTCTGTGAAACCTATTTTATTTACCTAAGGAAATGAGTTTTTTGTTAAATAACTTATTTTTTCTATATAATTAAAAGTAAGCTGATTTCATGATTGGTAATTTTAGAATTTCTTTTTACGTCCTGGAATTTTTTTCCATAAAATACTTATATTTATTTCACTTCTACACTTAATAATACCGTATAATTTATAATGTATTAGGTATATATCATAATTTTTATAAGATGAATTTTAAAGAATTTTTCATTTGCTACCGTAGAGTTTTACATGGGACGGAAATTTAAATATCCCAAAAGTTCCTTAGGATATCCCATACAGGATATGTATTTAAAAATTAAAAATTTTAATTGTTAGAAAATAATTTACAAATAGGTAGAATTGTAATTTTTTAAAATGTAAAATATTTACTGTTATTTCTTACTAAATTTAAATGTTCATTAATCAGTAAAATATCTCGTGCGGGATATCACACGGTACGGAAAGTTGGATATCCCAGGAATAATTTTTGTTGTGCAGAGTGGCACAACAATGAGATTTCGAGAAAATGTAAAAAAAACGGAGATAAATATCTGGTTTCTTTTACCTTTTTTGCAAACCCATTGCTGTCCTACTTTCATCTTTATATATATATATAGTCTATTGGAAAAAATCTCAGCTTTTCAGTGAAAATAAAAATGATCCCGCCTTAATTTTTACTTATTTTTTTGAAAAAATCTTAGCTTTCTAATAATAATAATAATAATAATAATAATAAAAGTAAAAATAATTGCAAAATTATAATTACAATAATTACAAAATTTGTAAAGCATTGCCTTAGTTAAGTGGATTTGGAAATGACACTCTTTTTTTAATTTTCTAATATTTCAGGGATTTGTAAACATATAAGAAAACAATTTACCAAAATTTCAAGCGAATCCAATCCAAACCATAAAGTAACCGGGAATTTTAAATTACTTTAAAAACATTTGTTAAATGAATTATTAAAATAGACATAATTTTTTTTATTACTATATATAATGTTACTTATTTTGAAGAGCTTTTACTAGTATTCTATAAAAACAACGGAATGGGATTGTTTTGCTTTTTTCCATAACCTAAAAAAAAATTTAAAACGTGGACCAATAGACACAAAATTAATTAATGTACGGACTGTACGGTCAATTGTAAATTACATTTTCCAAAATATATTTTATAATTATATCCATATTTATACTTGGAAAAGAAGATATTTGTGTTTATTTAAAATTTCCTATTAGTTTTATAATACTATATACAGTATTATTTATTTAACTTTTTAAACATTTATAGGTCCAGAGACTTGCTGAGTATGAGAGGTATTTAAGGCAGGAAGCGAGAAATCTTACAGAAGACGAAAATCAAGTTGAAAGTGGTATCATTCTTCAACGGAATCAACTTGAAGGTGACCTTCATCGTATTCAAGAATTGTTTCCTGGAGATAATCTGCGACTACATGAACGAGATGTTTTAACAACGGTAATATTTTTTTGGTTTAATGTTTTAATAAGATTTAATATACATTACGGACTTGTTAAATATCCTCTAAATCTTAATCAGCAAAATTTCACTGACAATTAATGAAATTCCATTAATTGGCAATGAAAATTTTCACTGAATGATTTAATGGACGCATTTTCAATATTTCATCAATATTTCCCTAATTAAAAAGAATGATTGTTATTTTTGACTACTTTAAAACATTTTTTTAATCGATTCTTAAAAAAACAGTAAGAGCTCTTTAACGCCCAGTGATTTCGATCGAAATCATTTTGAATTTAAAAAACCATAACTCTGTCAAAAATTAAAATATTCTTGTTTTCTGAACGGTATTGATCTGCAAATTTATTTAATTTTATGAAAAAATTTTATATATTAATTAATTATTAATAATTATTTTTTAATAATATAAACACAAGTATCTTTTTGTAAGATTTTCAAAAAAATAGAAAATTATAAAGAGAAATATAATATGAATTTGCAAAAATGACTACTTCGAAATTTTTAGGGACACTAACAACGAATTTGATATCAGTTTTTCAAGATTTTCAAAATTCAAAATGGTCGTTCTAATATGGCGGACGATTTTTTAAAAAATTATCGGATTTGTATGAAACTCGTTACTCGAGGGTTTTTAGGGTCGCTGACAACGAATCTGATGTCAGTTTTTCAAATTTTTTCGAAATTCAAAATAGCGGATCCAATATGGTGGACGAAATTTCAGAAAGTTGAGTTATGCTCTTAAAAATTATTGCTTGGGAGTTTTTTAATGATTACGAATCCGATGTTAGTTTTTCAAAATTTTCTTAATTCAAAATGGCGATTGCAAGATGGTGGATGATTTAAAAAAAACAAAACAAATAAAATTGGGTTCAGTGTTCTGTAACCTCCCGCGGTTCATCCCGGTAACTACAAATGGGGAGGCAAATTACAGAAAAAAATTTACCCCAGATTCGTGAACAGCCATCACTAAAAATGCCCGAGTAGTCACTTTCAAGAGCTGAGCTCATATTTTCGAGCTTTCGATCGTCATATTGTATCCACCATTTCGTAATTTAAGAAACTGTCATCGGATTCGTACTTACTGACCTCAAAAACCCCCGAGTAACAATAAGTAAATCCGATCAATTTATAAACCAATTGTCCGCTATATTGGATCTGCCATTTTGGATTTTAAACATTTTTAGGGTTCCGTACTCGGTTCGGAACCCTATTAATATCGGTTTTTTTGAAATCGTGTACCCCCCCCCCCCTAGCGGCCACATAAATTTATCTGGAGGGCTGAAAATTAGTACACATATGTATTTTCGCGTGTAGATTACAGGAAAATTATAGCGAACTTGATTGGAATTGATTAACATAGCGTTGTCAAGGAAAAACCATGAATTTTTACGAAAAATGCCTAAAAATGACTATGTACCCCCCCCCTAGCGGCCACATCTTTTGACATAAAGAGCTCAAATTTGACACACTTACGTATTTTTACGTGAAAATTACAGGAAAATTATAGCGAACTTGATTCGGAATAATTTACATAGCGTTGTCAAGGAAAAATCAAAAATTTCGAAAAAAATTATTTATTCTCCCTAGCGCACACAATATTCAACCCAGACAGATCATATTTAGTATACAAATGTATTTTTACGGGAAAAATACAGGGGAAAAAAAGCGGTCACGAATAGAGTTGATGATTAACTTTTTATCAAGTTTTTCAAGTAAAAATGACAATTTTAGGAAAAAAATGTATTTTTCCACCAAAAACGAACAAAATTTTATTTAAAGGAAATTAAATTTATATATTTTAACGTATTTTTACGTGTAGATTACAAAAAAAATATAGCGAGCATGATTGGAGTTGATTATCATAGCGTTGTCAAGGAAAAACCATGAATTTTTACGAAAAATACCTAAAAATGAGTATGTACCCCCCCCCTAGCGGCCACATCTTTTGACATAAAGAGCTCAAATTTGACACACTTACGTATTTTTACGTGAAAATTACAGGAAAATTATAGCGAACTTGATTCGGAATAATTTACATAGCGTTGTCAAGGAAAAATCAAAAATTTCGAAAAAAATTATTTATTCTCCCTAGCGCACACAATATTCAATCCAGACTGTTCATACTTGCTGTAAAACTCAATTTTTGCGTGAAAAATACAGGGAAAAAATGTAAGCGCGATTGGAGTTGATGATCAATTTTCATCAAATTTTTGAAGAAAAATGATAAATTTCAGAAAAAAATGTATTTTTCCGCAAAAAACGAAAAAAGTTTTTCTACAGTGATTCAAATTTATATATTTTGACGTATTTTTACGTGTAGATTACAAGAAAAATATAGCGAGGATGATTGGAGTTGATTTTTCAGGAATTAATAAACAAATTTTATTTTTTAGATAACTTTCGATTTTTCCTTGACAAGCAGCTACTAGCCTTATATCAATATCTTAAGTTTTATCTCTTTTTGACTTAGAAAGATAAAATTTAATATTCAATATATTTTTAAAATGTAAATACAATAAAAATATTGCGAGTTGAAATAAAATTATGTTTCTTATATTTTTTTAGTAAAATATTTTTTAAAAATAAAATCGGACAAGTGCGAGTTACACTCGCACTGAAATCGAGGGTTCCGTACTCGAAGCGAACTTATTTGGTATAAAAACAAATGTTTAAAAAATATGTGTTGTATGACAACTAATATAAGTGATACAAAAAGGAACAATTTTGTAAAATTCAAGAAAATTGTTCCTTTTTGTATCACTTATATTAGATGTCATACAACACATATTTTTTAAACATTTGTTTTTATACCAAATAAGTTCGCTTCGAGTACGGAACCCTCGATTTCAGTGCGAGTGTAACTCGCACTTGTCCGATTTTTTAAAACTAACATCGGATTTGTAATCAGCGATCTTAAATACCCCCGAGTAACGACTTTCATGACAATCCGATCAATTTTTCAAAAAGTCATCCGCCAATTACGATTTTCTTGCTAACTTCTGATTGGTGAATTTTATACATCGCGCCAAAATTTTTCTGTCGATTGTTTGTTCGGCCATTTGCAATTTCGGACAAATAAAAATTCTTCGTTTCAAGAATTAAACCAAATAAAAATTCGGTGCCTAAAAATTCTGTTAATTAAAAATTCATTAAAAAAGATATTCTGACAAGTGTTAATTCGAAAAATGAAAATTGGTCTAAAAAAATAATATTTAATAAAATTGTTGAAAACGAAAATTCTAACTAATGATTTTTATTGGACATGCGCATCGTTAAATGGTTAAAAAATTATTCTGTCTTAAAATAAATATTGTTTTTAATGATTTTCTTCTGGACAGAAAAAACCTGGTATCAAGTGCACCAAAAATGAGCCAGGTCGGTGGCGCCACCGTCTATGTCCTTTAGCATTGGCTCATTTTGAGTTGCAACAAAAATGAGACTAGGTTTTTCCTGTATGAATAAAATTTGTTTAAGGGGGCAGTCCACGTTGGATGTTTGAAAAAATTGATTTGTCTTTTTTTTTAATATTTCTAATCTTTCTTGGTTTTGGTAAGAGTTTGACTAGAAGTTTTTGATCAACCAAAGTGTTTTTTTTAAATTGTTCAGCGAACATTTTTCTAGGTCAGCGCACAAGCTTTTTCGAAAATATTATCTTGCGCACTTTTTACAACGTTTATAAGCTCGAAAAAAACGGTCAAAAATTAATTATTTTTAGAAAAAAAGACTGCCAAAATGAAAAATTTAAAAAAAAATCGTGTCTAGACCTGGCCAACGTAATAATCAAAACTGCAATCAAGTATAAACTTGTAAATGATTGATTATTTAAAAATTCTGTAATATAAAAAAATTCTATCTAATGAAATTCTATGAAATAAAAATTCTAACAAATTAATTTTAGGCATTATTCATGCGTCTCAAGATATTAATGTAAAAACCAATGCAATCTGATATTGTTAAACATTTAACCCTTATTCCCTTTTTATAGAAACATAAAGCTGTTCGAAATCGCATTTCCTTGCTAGGCGTTGGAGAAAGTATCGTGTGCAACACGTGCGGTAAAAGAATTGATTTCTCTCGTGTGATTGCACTCATTTTCTAATACTTAAATTATATTGTTCAGATATTTAATAAAAGTAATTACAAAGTGTATTAGGTTTAAATATATTATTATTGAAAACCTAACTTAAAAATATAATTAAAGTGCAAAAAAACTTTTTTTATACGTCTAAGTCTAAAGTTTTCGAAAAACAAGTTTTGTGCTGAATTGTACTCGACTTGTGCTCTTTCGTGCAAAAATTCATGTTTTGAAAAACTCAAAATTCCGGGCAAAAGAATTAAAAACCTTTTTTAAACGACTAAGATAGTATTAAGCTCTTTTTCGCAATTGTGATGTAAAAAATTAAAACTAAAAAAAGTTTTTGACTAAAATTTATAAAAAATATTTTTTTCACCAAAAAACGTCAATATTTTTTTTTTTAGATTTACAAAAGTTTTTTTTTTGTTTTTAAGCCCCGAATTTAGAGTTCCAAAGAATGAATTTCTGCACGAAAGAGTACAATTAGTACATAAGTCGAGTACAATTCAGCATAAAATTTGTTTTTTTGAAAAGTTTAAATTTAGATATATAAAAAAAGTTTTTTTATTTTTTTGCCCGGAATTTTGAGTTTTTCAAAAAATAAATTTATGCACAAAAGAGCACAAGTCAAACACAATTCAACACAATATTTGTTTTTTTGAAAATTAAAAATTTTTAGATTTACAAAAGTTTTTTGATTTTTTTTACCGAAATTTTGAGTTTTGACAAAAATGAATTTTAGAACAAATGAGCACAAGTCGAGCACAGTTCACCACAATATTTGTTTTTTTTTTTTTGAAAATTTTAACTTTACTGATCTAATTTTCTGGACATTGATACGATTTTATATCTGTCTTTTTGAATATTAAAAATTTAATGTCTTTGTATTCAACATACCCGAAAACACTCAAAAAATCAGTTTCAAGTAAATCCGGGGATTTTAATAATAAGCAGACACCTTTTCGAATTTGATATTTTCTGCTTTGAAACCAAGTTTTTTTTAGAAAGAGCATACTTTTATTTTATATGAATCGATTAAAAACTAAAATCAATTTTATTTCTTTTTTACTGACATAATTTTAGAACCTTTTCTGTGTTTATAATTTTTTTTTTTTAGAGACATCTTAGTAAATATATTACCATCAGTTTATGAAAAACATATATTTTTTAAAGGAAATCTATATTCTTCCCTTTTGATTGTAGTAAAAATCACATAATATAATTGATTTTCTTTGTGTTTTTAGAAAATGAAAAACATTCTTCGTAAAAGAAACGGCGTTAAAACTGGAAGACTAACAAGAGCACTTTCGCAGAAATCTTTGAACAACAGTAATAATTCCTTATTAACAATTGGATCTACTAGAACCTTCTTATTGGAAACTCCAGTACAATTTACCACGGTAAGTTCATTTTATTCATAGTGATTTAAGCGTTGAATGAAGATTTGAATAAACAAACATTATAGTTCAGTATAGTGTTCACTAGAATTCATCTAGAATAATTCTATTGAACGAATTTTATTAGAAATAATTATTTTTTAGACGAAATTTCATTTTTCGAATTGAAATTTGATAGATTTTCTTTTTATACCAATTTTTACTTAACAAAATTTTGAGCTACTGAATTTTTGTTGGGCAGAATTTTTATTTTAGTCATTTAATTTACATGACTTTTTATTTAAGAGAATTTTAAGTTAAGCGAATTTTAAATTAACAGAAAATTCTCATTCAATCGAATTTTATGTGATTTGAATTTTTAAATGACAGAAATTCCAATTAACTAAAATTTTAATTGATAGAACTTTTAAGACGCCGAATTTTCATTTGACCGAAATTACAAATGTCCGAACAAACATTCGACAGAAAGATTTCAACGCAATTTTTAAAATTGACCAATTAGAAATTATCAAGAAAATCGTGATTGGTCAATTTTAAAAATTGCACCGAAATATTTCTGACGATTGTTTGTTCAGTCATTTGTAATTCCGGACAAATGAAAATTCGGCGTCTTAAAAATTCTATCAATTAAAAATTCGTACAAATTAAAATTTTGGTTAATTGGAATTTCTGTCATTTAAAAAATTCGAATCACATAAAATTCGATTGAATGAGAATTTTCTGTTAATTTAAAATTCGCTTAACTGAAAATTCTCTTACATAAAAAATCATGTAAATTAAATGACTAAAATAAAAATTCGGTAGCTCAAAATTTTGTTACGTAAAAATTCGTATAAAAAGAAATTCTGTCAAACTTTAATTTGAAAATTGAAAATTTGTTTAAAAAATAATTGTGGATTTACTTTTTCCTAGGATACTGTTTTAATTTACAATTTATTACAGGGAATGCAGTCACAAGAAAGACATCTCTTTCTTTTTTCGGATGTTTTACTCATAGCCAAAGCACGAAGTGGAGGTAACTTTAAGTTAAAGCAGTCTGTTAAAATGAGCGAGCTCTGGTTGACAACTGGTCATATAGATGACGTCGCCGAAACAAATAAATCTCAGGAAACAAGTTTTGTACTTGGTTGGCCAACTACAAATGTTGTTGCTACTTTCATGTAAATATTGCAATTTAATTAATATTTTTCTTTCTTATTATATAATTTATTAAGGCACAATGAAGTTGTAAACGTGAGTTTTACTATTTGTCTACTTTTATTTTATGATGTTGTGTTAGGAAAGAACAAATTTGTGTTCACAGTTCCATTCATAGTTTTTACGATTAAGTTAAGACTAAATTCTTGGTTTATTAGTATAATTCTACATTTTATTATTTTAACTGCTGTTAATAATTTAAAATTGATTATTAGGTTCTTCCATTTTTAATTCTGAATTTGCTCAAAAAATTATTAATAGGTCATTTAGGTCATTAAGGTCATTAAGTAATTCTACCAAAATCGAATTTTCAGTTTTTTTTTAACATTCTTTAACATTTAATTGAATTATTAATTGATAAAAATTTCAATTAACAGAATTTCAATATTGTTACTTTAATTAATTTTCGGTTTATAAACTTGTTTGACTTCATCAAATTTTAATTAAACAGAATAAACTTTTAAAAATTTTTGAATTCTACGGAAAAATATTACAAAATTTTATTTTCTATCCGAATTTACATTTTGACGAATTCTTAAAACGCCGAATTTTTATTGTACACAACTTTCATTTGACCAAATAAATATCTGAAAGAAAAATTTTAGCGCATCTTTTAAAATTGACCAATCAGAAATTACCAACGAAATTATAATTGGTTAATTTTTAAATTTAGGATCACATTTTTTTGCCAGTTATTTATTCAGACAAATGATAGTTCTGTAAAATAAAAATTCGGCGTTTTAAGAATTCTATAAAATCTGAATTTGAATAAGTAAAAATTCCGCTAGAAAATAATTTTTTCCAATTATCTTCATGTAAAATTAAAGTTTCTTTTAAAGGACTATTCTATCCAATTAAAATTCGATCAAATAATTATTTCCTCAAGTTCAATTCGACTTATTTGATTTGATCAATTGTTTAATTAATTCATTAATTAATTAATATATTGTAAATGAAGTGATTATTGTGATTTTTTTCTTATATATTTAAGAAATGACCAATTTCAAATTTCCTTTTATTTTTAATTTTCTCCGGAAACAATTAACATTCTTGAGCTTATATTTTGGTCTCAACTTGCACTCAGTGATTTATGGTAACAGCTGACTTTTCTTGGAGTCACTTATAGGACTATTCTCTTCTTCTTAAAGTTACTACGACTTTAAGAATAATACGCTCATGATGGCACTTGCATTGCGAGCTCGAAAAAGAGTCTAATGTTCAGAAAAAAGTTTTTGGTCAAAAACCTAGCTAGACAATATATAATTTCTCTTTGAACCTGTTAAATCTATTAAACATTTTTGACATGAAAAAAAATATAATCTGACATATTTAAATTTTAAATGCAATAAAGTATTCGTATTCGTATAATTATAAGTGGAATTTAACCTTTTAAAATATGTTTAAATATTTTCCTATTCACCTTAATTTACTTTATTTGATGCTCTTTAGGACTAGTGCAGCACGAGATTTATGGTGGGGACGTCTGACGGAATTAGTAAGAGAAGAGAGTGGGAAGGAACCACCAGACACGAATATTCAAATTCTGTATCATGAAAATGAAGCCAATATAGAATATGTAAGTGTTCATATTATCTAGTTCAGATTCTCATCTTCAATGTCGTTTAACCTAATTACACTTTCCAATTTGACCAAGATATTTATAAATGATTGTTGGAGACAGAGAATCAAGACTGCAAATGCTTGAGAAAGTCAATAAGTGACTTGATTTACTGGGAATGAACAAATAGTTCTATTTAAAGAATATATATAGTGATTCTCTTGAAACACTACTTCTTGTGTGTTGGAAAAAACAAAATTAGCTATTTCAGCCTTTAAACATTTAATCAAATTCAGTTTAATAAGATCTAACTTTTGTCAAGCAAAAGATTTTAAGATGCAACAGCCAATTAGAAACGAATATGACGTAGTAAATGGGACTGAACTGTTTCCCGATGTTGTCTTGAATCTTCATCTTATAAGATAAAAATTATTAATAGCGATAAATCCTTCATCTATTAGAGTCAAATTGTATAAAGGGAATCTGGAACAAATTCCAGATTCCAAAGTTTTATTAAGAACATCACATTAATTTTCTACGTAAAAAAATTTATAGATCACCACTATGTTGGGTGGGCAAAATTAAAACAACTGTATTCATTGGATAATTTGCTTACAGAAAGAGAGTTGGCTGAGTTGAAGCCGGACTCATATGATTTGTATTTGAATTACGATGAGGTAATTGAGGAGGAAGAAGATTTGGAGAATGAGAATATAAGAGCCCCAGGAGCTTAAAAATTGCTTAATTTTGTACATAATAATTAAAAAAATTCTTTTAATCTATAAACAAATAAATTTATTTGTAAATTACGAATTCGAAAACAATTTTTTACAATTCAAAATGTCGTATCTAATATTACTCTAAAACCCCTAACTAACAAGTTTCAAACAAAACCGGTAAATTTTTTACAAAGTTGTCGGCCATTTTGAATTTTTTAAATCTGACATTAGGTTCGTTTTCAGAGACCCCAAAAACCCCCAAGTAACAAGTTTCAAGGAAATTCGAACATTTTTTTTTAAATACGCCATTTTAGATCTGCCATATTGAATCCGCCATTTTTAATTTATATATATATATATATATATATATATATATATATATATATATATATGAGGCATTTCATATGAGAATACGGGGTCATGTCTCGAATTTTTCTCAAAATTCGGTAAATTGTAGTGGTGGTAAATAAGTGTACAAATTTTGAATTTGAAATTTTTAATATTTTTCGAGATATTTACAATAACAAATTTGAGCAATATTTTTTTAATTTACTTATAACTTTTTTCCTACTAAAAATAGAGAAAAATGTTGTCACTTTAATAAAAGATTACACTGTGAGAAAAATAATGCCATATGATAAAAAAACATTTTTATTAACAACTTTTTATTTTGATCTTACAGTAATTAGATTGGTACAACAAAAAAGAAAATATTACACTCTATGAGTGTCCAGTTTCTGTTAAAGTGTCTCGTGTACTTAATGATTTTAATTGACGTAAAGTAACGTGGTACCACTGCCCAATTAACGAGACTTATGAATAATGACTAAAATTAATTTGTTAGAATTTCATTAGATAGAATTTTTTTTTAATCGAATTTATATTTGTTCGACTTATTTTTTCACAGAATTTCTACTAAATTAATTTCCCATAATTACGAAATTTTTATATAATCGAAAATTCACTTCACAGAATTTATATTTGCTTGAATTTTTGTTTATCAGAATTTGTATTTGTTCGAATTTTTATTCAACAGAATTTTCTTTTATAAGAATATTTTTATTTTTAATTTGTTCGAATTATTCATTCACAGAATTTTCATTTTCATCTTACAAAATTTTCATTTAATCGAAAATTCATTTTAAAAAATTTCTATTTTATGGAATTTTTATTTAACAGAACTTTCATTTTTTCGAATAAACAGTCGGCAGAAACATTTTGAAGCGAATTTTAAAATTCGTACCAAATAGTTTCTGACTGAAGTTAATTCGTACAAATGAGAATTCAGTTAAATGAAAATTTGATCAGATAGAAATTCTACTAAATGAATTAACATGAATTTTAAGTAAAAATTCTGTAATATGAAACATCGGTTATATGAAAATTCTGTCAAATAATAATTCGAATATATAGAAATTCGTCTAAAAGAAAATTCTATGCAATGAAATTTTAGCTAATAAAAATTCTTTTAAATCTTTTATGTTAAATAAAATTTTGAGGCGCATGAATTTTCTATAAAAATTATTAGTTATAATTTTCACTTTAAAGACTTTTATTAGATTTTTTATTTATTAGACGAATTTTCATTTTTCGAATTAGCATTTAACAGAATTTTTTTTTAAATAAATTTTTTATTTTATAGCATTTCTGTCTACCTGACTTTTTATTTTAAAAAATCTAATTTAACCGAATATTAGTTTTGCAAAATAATCATTCAACTAAATTTTAAATGATTCAACTTTTCAAATTCCAGAACTTCCAATTTATCAATAATCTTCATTTGTTCGAATTTTTTTTGTACGAATTGTTATTTGACAGAATTTTTAAAACACTGAATTTCTATTTGTTCAAGACTGCACATGACCGACAAACAATCGAAAGAAAGATTTTGGTGCGAAATTTAAAATTAACCAATCTGAAATTATCAAGAAAATTTTGATTGGTTCATTTTTAAATTCGCACCAAAGTCTTTCTGTCAATAATTTTTTCGGTGAATTGGAAATTCTGGCATTTAAAAATTTGAATTACTTAAAATTTCGTTTAATGAGAATTCTGCTAAATTAATATTAGATAAATTATAATTTTTTAAATAAAAATTTTTTTTATGGGAAATTCATGCGCTTCGAAAATTTGAATAAATGTTATAAATAAATGTTAAAAAATAATTTGAACAAATATAAATTCGGCTAAAAGAAAATTGTATCAGAAATTAATTTCAGGCATTATTCATTAGTTTCACTTTTTTTAGTCTAGTTTCTGAAATAATTTGTAATTATTTTAAATTTATTAATTCTAGAGCAAAACAATTATGGTGAGTTCAGAAATGACAGCAACAACATGCGTAAATTTGGCTACACGTCTTCTAGATCTACAGGGTCACTTTCAATTGTGGTCAAGGACATCATCAGATGATGCGCCATATCCTTTGATAGGACACGAGAGACCCTTTGCCATTAAACTGTCAAATTTACGGCATACATTGTCTACTGAAGAAGGTTTTGATTTGGAGCATTGTAATAAAAGCGGTAACGACACTTGCCACTTTATTCTTAGGCCGACATTGAAGTCGCCAATAAAGAAAAATAAATCAAAAATCACTGGTCTACTAAGGCGATCTTTATCCCTTAATCCAAGTATATTTGGAGTTAGTCTATCGAGATTAGATGACAATGGATTACCTAAGCCCGTTTTAGTTATGTTGCAGCAAATTTTTGTAAAAGGACCATTTACGCAAGGTATTTTTAGAAAATCAGCAAATATTCGAATTGTCAGGGAGCTCAGAGATCAAATTGAGTCTTCAGGAGATTCAAGATGTCTGGAAAATGCACCAATTATTGCTATTGCAGCACTACTTAAAGACTTTTTAAGATCACTGCCAGATCCTCTACTCACTTCCCATTTGTTTCCGCAATGGATGGAAAGTCTTGAGTCAACCAAACCAGTACAATCGATAAAAAGGTAAATTCACTTTTTATCCAATTTTTATTTTTTAATTCAAATAGTTTATCAGGATGTCTAACAAGGATTGAGAAAAAAATTCCCTGACTCCTCCCTGACATTTTTTGATTTTTCCCTTACTTTTTAATAACCTTTCTTTGGACAAAAATATGGTCACTGACATATTTAACAATAAATTAATTTCTAATGGTAGTAATAAATGGTAATAAAAACCATTCAAGTTTTTTTTTTAGATTTTTTAGATTATAATCCTAAAATCTTTTTAAAATCTTCTTTATTTTAATTATTTAACAAATTTTTAACTGAAATTCTTCACAAATTAAATTATCTTAAATTATTTTTTAATTAAAAATTTTACGAAATTTAACAATTGTTTAAAATTTCAAAAAAAAAAAACCCAAATAAAATGACCAAAAATTTCAGTTTAAAACCTTTTAAAATTGTTCATCTAAAACTTTTTGAAATTTAAAAATTTCAATTAAAAATCACTTGATGTACAATTATTTTCAAAAATCTGAATTTTAAATCTTTGAAAATTCAATTACTTTTAAAAAATGTTATCTAAAATTATTTGACAAATTATTTTCAATTCTATAAAATTTAATTATTGTCTGAAATTTAATAAAATCTTGATATTCAATTATTTCTAAAAATGTCAACTGTAAGTCTTAAAAAATTCAATTATTTATAATATTTTTTTTTTAAATTCAGTTATTTAAGAAAGTTTTAAATGAAAACTCTAAAATTGATTTGTCAGAAATTAAAAAAAAAACTATAGCAGTTTAAATTTAAAAAAAATTAATTTCAAAAAAAATCTTCTGCAATTCAATTATTTAAAAAAAAATTTAATTATTGTCCAAAATTTTTTTTGATTATTAAAACTAAAAGCTATATTAACATTTGAAATTAGAATAAATTGACTAAATCAGAATTTAAAAAAAATTTTTTTTTTTTAGGAATTTGTTGAATAACGATGAATTGAATAATATAATTGCAAATTTTTCTCGCCTTTCTCACCACCGTATATCCTATTTAATTAAAATTTTCAAAATTTTTCTTAGTTCAGTTCTGAAATATTGGAAATAAATTTTTTTCTTGTCCCATTTTTATATTTATACAGTTTTGTTGTAAAATGTCTCATCTTTCAAATAAAAATAAGAAAACAATTTTTTAAAGGGGTTAAAAATGAAAAATAAAAGTTAATTTTGAAAAAAAATGTTTTTTTGTAATATTTGATAACTTTTAATTTTTAATATAACTTGAACAATTTTTTTTCAGCATACTGGACCGTCTTCCGAAGCCAAACTACAATTTGCTTTCACATTTGATTTGCGTGTTACATCATGTTGCCAGACGTTCAAAACACAATCTGATGTGTGCAAGCAATCTTGGTGTTTGTTGTGGTCCAAGTTTATTATGGTCGGTAAATCCTTCAGTTAAACATAGCCGTACAATACCAACACTGACCGAGATGTTAATTCGACATTGTGACGTACTGTTTGGCGAAGGAGTCACTCAACTCCTTGGCGAGGAACGAAGCGACAGTGGAGCCGAAGAAAGCACCGACAGTTTGCATTGTGAGTTTGCCAATAAATCATTCTATGCGATTCCGATATTTCTTGTGAAAAAGAATCTTAGCGATGCTGATCTTTATAAACGATCGATAGAAACATTTATTCGTGCCGTTGCAGCAGGTGGACTATCATTGGACAGTTTGGATCTGACAGAACCACCACGTAAGGATCATATGTCACTTTCCAGAGATTCGGGCCTAACACTATCTGATTGTCAACTATTTATTCCCGAATCGCCCGTTGGTTCAGAAGACTCGGCTGTTAATGCCAGTTCAACACTCAAGGACGATAATAAGTCTGTGAATAAAACTTACATTAGGGTTTATGGAGGTTGGGACGAAAGAATAAATTATCCTGTTAATCCGAATAATCCCAATTTCCAAAGACAAGATTGGCTTCGAGCTCAACTTAAAAGAACACCGCGCACCAAACTTGAAGAAATGGATCATCGCAAAGAACGTTTTGATGAGAAGGACATTTACTCTCGAGAATATCAGGACATGAAGATCGACATTCGCAAAGAATATCAATCTTCTCAGGTCGATATTTCCCGAGACATTCGAATGGACTATGAACGCTTAGATGACAGAGTATTGGACGATTCTGTCAATACTTCGTTGCTTGCGAATCGCTACGAATTCAATAAGGAGGACTTTAATGATTACAAAAAAGTCTACAGTCGTGAATCTCCCATTTCACAGAACAGCAGTAGTCATCATTCTAATAGTGACATCTATGAATTTAAAAAGGGAAGAAATGAAATTTACGCCAAGAAGGAAATACCCATTAATCGTTACGAATGTAGTGAAAAGTCTGATAACAATATTTATGGAAATCGTGAGAATTTAAGTGACATTTACAATACAAGAGAACGAAAGGAAATTTACACTTTTAAACAAAGTGATACAATTAATTATAGCATAGAAAATGAAGATGGAAAAAGCATTTGGTCTGATACGCCGCCACCGTTACCACCTAGACTCAAGCATCTGCCACCTGTTCATATGAATTTTGAAGATAGACATAAAATTGCTGGAAGATCAAGATCACTGCCCCCTCCACCGCCACCCTATAGACCACCACCTCAACCACGAGCAACAATTACAATGAGAAATCTTGGATACAGTAGATCAGTTAACGACGACGAAAGTTACGTTTAAAGTCGTAGACATTCTTTTGTAAATTAAAACCAAAATCCACAGAATAGTGTCGATTTTAAAGTCATCACTCTTGTCTTACAGAACCTAGTCGAAAATTAAATTTTTGTATTATCTTTATATGTGTGTGTAAGAGAGCATGTGAGTGAATGTGAAATTATAACTTTTAATAAAAAGTAGGGGTGGGAAGAAATCAAAAAGAAGAGTTCAAATAAAATTTCAGATTAAATTCAAAGAAAAATTAATTTCAAAAGGCTCGGGGCCGTTTTGGTCAGAAATATTTAGTATTTTCCACAAATAATTCTCCTAACGAAAATTAAATTTTATTTACTTATTTCAACTTTTTTTTTATTTTTATTTACTTTTTAAGAGTAAATTTATTTTGCCACCTTTGTTAATAAATAAAATTTAAATATTATTTAACTTTATTCTAATAAAAAAATGTTTCGTTTTAAATTTTCTTATTTTTATAAACAATGAGGAGAATTTCAATGGCTTATATTCGAAAAAAATGCTATTTATTTCTGTAATTAAAAAAAGATTTTCCGTGAAAGACGAAAAAGTGTTTTAAAAAAACACAATTTTTTTACTATTATATTAACATTAAAAGTTAACATTGAAAAAATTAAAAAATTGAATCTCATAGATAAAAGGTAGAATGACAAAAGGGATCAAGCGCCAATTTTTCGAAATTGAGGTTTTTTAATTTTAAAAAATCAAGTAAATTCATTTACTCATTTCATGTGAAATGCGAATTTTTATTGCGTTTTTAAATCAGTTTTTAATAAATATTAAAATCATAAAATAACCTCAAATTTAATTTATTACAATTCGATTAAAAAACAAAAGAAAGTAGTAAGCCAACAATTTTATGAATAATTTAATAAAGTTAATAATTTGAACATTACTATTTGATTTCTTCTGTGAGACGTATCTTCCAATATAAAATAAATTATATTTATAAAACTAAGTAAAAATACAAAAGCAGATATTGACAATACAAAATATATATTTTGATGTCAGTTCTCATAACAAAAGTTTACAGAATATCGTTTTCAGAACTTTTAACTAATTGCGAATCATATAAGTAAAAAAAATTGAAAAATTTTTCATTAAGAAAAAATCTTACAAATTCAAAAAACATTTATTTTTACAAATTGTATTAATAATATTTTTAACAAACCCAGAATCTAGTGCCTTCAAAGTTTTTGAAAAAATATTTTTTAAAACAATTTTAATTTATAATTTATTTTAGAAATCTAAATCCTCCAAGTAAAGAAAGTGGTAAAAAGTTATTTATTTTAACTATAATAGTAATAATATTTTAATTTTAATTAAAAATAATTTTTATTTTAATAAAATAATAAATAATGCTCTTAAAATAGGCACCTTATGTATTAATTTTGTGAATCATTTCTTTTAGATTTTTCAACATTTTGTATACTAAAGGAAAACCAAAGCTTATCTTTAAATTTTCACTACACTTTATTAAATAATTTTTTTATAACTATTAAATAGGAGGATTTAGATTTCCAAATTTAAATTTTATATACAAGAAGACATTTAATTTTAAGGGAATAAAAGTAGGAGAATAATTTAATAATTAGCGATTATAAAGTGGGTCTATTGAAAGATAATAATAATCAAATTATTCAACTTTAATTGAAATATTAAAATATAAAAAATATTAAATGACTACTCCATAAAAGCAACTTCATTTAATTTCAATTAATATTAAATTGTCAATTTTTATTGAATTATAAAATTAATTGTTTTTCCGTGAATACAAATCAGTTACATAATAATGTACTTATAATCAGTTGCAAAAAATCTGAAATCTCAATTATATTTTTATGTATTCTCTCTTTTTAACGTATGTTTGATTTTAATGTGATTGCTCGCTGATAATTTTTAATTGGTGTGCAATTAATGATTAATGATTTTGATAACTTTTTTTTATGATATAAATACATATTTTGAAGAGTAATTTTCTTATCACTTTCAGGTAAAGGTTTTTCAAACACTGCTTTTTAAAATATGGCTTTTCATTTTAATTATATATTACCAAATTCGAAGACTATTATTAACTATAATAATTTTAGTGTTCTGAAATTCACTGTACCAAAGGTGTTTTGAATGTTATTAATAACGCTTTAGATAATGGTGTGTTTTTTTTGTAATATTTTTGAATGTAAATTGTGTTTACTCTTTATTTACTGTAGTCGTTATGTTTTTTAGGTAATAGATAAAATATGATCATTCTATCTAAGAAATGTATGAAATATTTATAATTTGCAAAATTGATTTTTGTAAATCATTTTAATTGTTTTCCTAATTTCTAATTTGTTTCTAGATTCTGTTTAAAAAAAATAAAATTTTTATTTAAAAAAAAAGGAAAAATTATAAAAGTTTAGGAATCTAAAAAAAGAATATAAAAATAATCAAAGAAATTTTGCGATTATTAACATTCGGTTTTATTGATTATTCAGGGATTTATGGTGCTTCTTATCTTTGAATAGATTTTTAGAATATTGTTTGAATCGATTAAAACATAGTATCAGACTGAATATACCCGAACTGAGAGCGGGTTTAAAAAAATATTTGTAGTTACGTTTTTCGAGGTGTATAATATTGTTCTATATATACTTAGCATATCACATTTTTATATATAATTATATCGTTAACTTGTTGCAGTTTTGCTATTAACTATTTTTGTTATTATCGATTGTTAATTATAAAGTAAAACTGCTTCGTTTCAAAGAATATCAATTATTATTTTTTATACTTGTCTATTTTTAATTTTATTGTGCCCTTTCCCATGAACAAAACAAACATATCATTGTTTTTGATACAACAGAAAATTATGTTTGTAATTTATGAATTTCAAATTATATGATGATAATATCCGTCTGGTGATTGTATTGTCATAAAATCATAATTTTAGTTCGTTTGGAGAATAGTCTCTAAAAAATATTATGTATCAAGTAAGCTAGTACACAGTACAAAAAAAATGTTAATAAAATCGTGTTTAATTTTCTCTTTACTTTGTACAAAAATGTACTTTATGTTGTTAAAGAATTAAATATAAACACGCGTTATCGAACACAATATAATATGTATACTTCCATAAATTATACTATTACAGTAAATATATTTCGTATTTTATACAACATGTTTTATTTTTTTCCTTTCCTCGTTATTTTGAGTTAAAGATAAAATATTTAGGCGATTTTACGTGAGATTTATCTGTGACGTTTAAAATTTTTTTTTTTAGAAATCTGGGGGTATCAATTTTTTCAAAAGTAGACCTAATTTGAAAGACATTTAACTTTAAAAATGTTGAATTTAGAAATTTTGTCATGAGAAAAAAAAGTTTCAGTTTCTCATCGACTTTTAAGTCTTTGTATAAGTTTCATTTGTATCTCACTACAAAATGATTCGTACGAAAATCGTTTAGAATTCGTAATAAATCGTAATTTGTACGGTTTAATTCGGAAAAACGGATAGAGAATTAATAAAAAAAATATTCCATACGGAAATTCAACATTTTTTTAATTCAGGTTCAATTTTCTATACGAATTCCGCAGGTTTTTTTTTTGAAAGGAATTACGCTCGTAATTTTTACTATAAATTTTTCCTTTTAAATTCGACCACTTTTCTGTAGGAATTTCTTTCGATATTTGTGCGAATTACTAATGAATTTTTAAAATAATTTCCTTCTTTTAATTCCGTTAGAAATTCGATAGGAATTCCGCACATAATATTTCTTGTAAAATTTCCGTGTGAAATATTTTTTTATCAATTCTGTATCTCTTTTTTTTAAACAAGACCGTAGCAGGAATTGACAGCAAAGGAAAACAAATTACATCTAAAACATATGATATAGTTTAAATTAAGGAAAATATTTATTTTTTTTGTTCACATAACTTTGAAGAAATATATCTTATTGAAATCATCTTTTTAACAAGGAAACTTTAAATATGAAAATGATTTATATAGAAAAAAATATAATTAAGTGAAGGTGTCTCTAATATCCACACTAGAGATTATATTTGGATTTCTGAACTGAAAATTCTTTAATAGTATTTTTATTTTGAAAACATTTCATTGTTAAGTCTCGATTTTCTCGTTTAATGAGAAAATTTTCTGATAAAATGCTACTATCTTCGGTACATCTATAATACAAAAGATCAAATTGTTTAGCTTTTTCTAATTTTCAATATTATATGTATTGAAAAGTAAATATACTTACAAGAAATCGAAAAGATAATTAAAAGCGTTTTGGCCATAAACATTTTTTCCTTTTTCCTTACAAGATTTCTCTTTCTTTTCTATAGTCTTTAATTCGTTTTTTTCTTTTTTAATTAGATTACGACGTTCATCTATGGTTATCAAAAGATTTTTCGAATCCTGAAATAATATAAATTATTGTGGAAAACATTTCTTAAATAACAATAGATGTAAGTAGTTAATCTGTTTTTCTTATTTGTAGACCAGATTTTATAAAGTGGAATTTACTTACAAAAGAATTTTTTTTTAACAAAATTTATATGCAACGGAATTTTCACAGATATTTATTTTTAAGTTAGAAGAATTTTCAAGATTTTAATTTATAAAAATTTTAGACAGGAATCTAGCGTAAAAATAAATGTTTAAAAATTATTCAAAACTAATTTTTTTTGTTTATGTCCTGCTTTATCATATGAAAATTCTATAAATAAATCGATTAGTTATTTTTTACACTATAAAAAGCGAAATAAATTTCATTTTATCCCAAAAAGTCGAAAAAGTACATTCTGAGGCCTGTTGAATTAGTATCAATTTATTAATTCCAGTTTATAAAATTTTGCTGAATAAAAATTATTTCAATTATAAAATTCGTTTCACTGGAAATTTGAACTACATAATGAAATTACGGAAATAATGAAATAATGAACTTATGAACCGTATTATGTGAGAGAATATTTTTGACCAATAGAGACTAAAATTTAAAAACTTCATGTTGATTTCAACTTTAAGCACTAAATCCCTGACATTTACAGGTTTTCCATTACTAAATAAAATTTCCATGACAATTCCAGTTTTTTCAGGTCTGTGGAAACCCTGTAAAGAATAATCTGAAATTTGTATGTAAACTATCCGCAAACATTACGCAACAATCTGGGTTCATTACTCTGAAAAATCTGAATCCGAAATGTGTCCATAATAATCTGAAATCTATACATGAAAAATCCGGTATTAGTCCATATTAATTCGAATTTAATCTGGTAAAAAATCGTAATCCGAAATGAGCTTGTAAAAATTCAGAATTAATATATACAAAATCAGCAATCAGTTCACGCAAGAATCTTAATCAGAAAGGAGTTGGAAATAATCGAAAAATCTGTATGTAACGAATCCGAATTCAATCAGGTCAAAAACATTAATTAAAAACCTGTTTGTACAAATCTGGTATTTCTCTGCAATAATGATGACTTTTGACATACAAATTTCGAACTTTTACAGTCTCATTTTGGATTAAGATGTTAGATCAGATTAGAAACGAATTGTTACTGACTAATAACGGATTTTTCACATAAAAATTCCGGACTTACTTCAGATTAAGTTTGTTGATCGACCCTAATCCTACCACAAGATCTCTTACAGTTGAGAGCAGTCTCAAGTTCTATAAGAACCGTTCACTGTTGGCGTAGAAGACATGTTGCTGACGTAACGAATACTTTGTCTCCCGATGAACTGCCTCATTTATATTATGTGTTATTATTTCATTTTGAATTAAATTTTTTTCACTTTGACCTTCTGATTAATGGTCAGAACCTATTTTGGTTAAAATTCAGGAATTCGAAATTAATCCGAAACAGTCAGGTTTCTGTCATGCAGAATTAGTCCGAAATTAGTATTATTTGTGTTTTATAAACATTTAAACCAACTGATAAAAAAAATGACTGACTTTTTCTCTTGCTTATATGTATATCTTTTTCAAAATAAGTCAAAATCATGTCAAACTATTTGATTGGTATCTTGAAACCTTACTAAAATAAACAAAACAAAAAAAATTTGTAATCGGTTCATTGATTGAAATGAGACATGTACTTAAAGTTTAAACAATAAAATTTTACAGGAGAACACTTATAAAAACATTTGCAGTTAACCTGAAGCCTTGTAAATATTTTATTGAATACTTGACGAACGGTGTGAAGTATTTTTGGGCCTGAATTATGATCAACCTTTCGTATGAATATCACTTTCGAAAGGCGAATCATTGACACCAACTCATCTTTCAATCGCTCACTGAATACCATTTATCCATTCTTAAAATTTAATCGGACTAAAAGAAAAATTAAACATTTCTACCATTTAGTGTCAAGCATTCAGTATTTTTACCTCGAGTGATATACTTTTCACCGTTTTAGATTTATAGAGAATGGGAGACGGATAGACAACCCAGTCTAAGCTTTCATCGTATAAAATATGTGTTAATTTAATTACTTACGTAGTAATGATAAAAATTGAAGAACTTCTTCTCGAACTTCCTTTTCTGTTCTTTAATTTCTAATCTGCAAAGAGATTTTACATTGAATAAGATATATTAATTATTAATATTTAAAAACATAACGACAACTGCTCTATTGAATAGGGGAGAGTGGGACAAAACCGGGTACCCCCTGTTTTCAATGATAGGTATTTCCAATTGTGTCACCCTTTATCTTTTATATTACAACCAACATCATTTTATTGATATAACCACTTTATAAAAATTTATTTATTATATTTTATGCGACTTTTAAATTTTAGGTCAAAAGAAAATCGATTTTTTATCGACAGTAAATCACTTATAAAACTTTTTGTGTCGATATATTCGTTTCGGCAAGTATAACATCTTTTTCAGCATTTATTTACGAGTAACTTTCATTAAAAGTAATTGTTAACTTATTAACAATAAGCTGAGAATTTTACATTTTGTTAAAAAATGCAGTGCGGGGCAAAACCGGGTACCAAACGGTGGGGCAAAACCGGATATATTTAAATACATTACACTATGCATATTTAAATTTCTCTTAAAAGAATCGACATCTATATTTCGAGATCGATATATCAATTATTTACTATATCGATAAATAAACGATAAAAAATTAATAAAAATATGAAAAATTTCGTTTTAAAAGATTTAACTGCTGTTATTCATTATTACTATAATATATTTTGATTAAATTTATTGAATATTAATTATTTTATATAATTTAAGTGATATATAATAATAATTGAATAAAAAGTTAAAGAATATTCCATGATTTATATATTTTCTTGATAGTACCCGGTTTTGCCCCACCATCGGGACAAAACCGGGTACTTTGCATTTTTTTAAAAAACCTTGTTTAAATTAATCAACAAATTTTTTTGATGCCATCGACCTTATTTTCTCATTCTCTAATGTTTAAGGAAGAATTATCAACGAGACTTGAACTAATTTGTTCAACAGATTCTTCGTAAACCGAGAATTACAAAAAGGTACCTTGTTTTACCCCACTCTACCCTACGAGTAATGTTAGAAAGTACAGATTTTTAATGTTTTCTGGTTTTATATTCAAATTATTCTGCTAAATCAATTGGTAAAACTTCAAGAACGAAGTTTTATTAAAAATTCATGATTTTTTGTGTAATGTGATTTGATAAAACAAATTAATATGATTCATTATAGCCTGCGATAAGTGTAGAAAATCAAATACCAAATTTTAATTTTTTCAAATTAGCATGTGTCAAAATGCGCACAAAAACAAAATGTCTTATAAACGAATTATCATAAATCAAATTAACAGAATTTTGACATTTTTTAACATTTTACAAATGACAAATTGTATTTAGAAGAATCTTTATGGAGTAAGAATATTTATAAGGCAGAAATTCTTTTAAAGATAAATTTCATTTTTACGAAATTTCAATCAGCAAAATTATTAGTTAACAAAAATTCTATGTAATAAATATTTTATACTTAAAATTTTTCATTTACAACCAACTGTTTATATTGGAAAATTTCCATTTCAACAAAATCTCAATTGACGGAATTTTTAAAATAAATTTTTATTTATGTGATTTGTATAGTTCCCCGACCACTGGCAAGAGAAGGTGGACCAACTTTGGACCGACCAAAAATTCGCACCTGAGATTACACAAATATTACCCAAAATATTCCTTTTAGAAAAAATCAAAGAATGGAAACTTTTAGTTCCTACATCGCAGTATTTTCGGAAAACATAAATTTTGAATTAAAATTTTTGTTAAGTTGCTTTCCTGTCGCCTAATTGTATATTTATCTTGTTTTATAATTATGTATATAGAATTCTTACGTGTTTTTATTTAATAATTGTTTTTTCGAATTTTTGGCATATCCTATGCCCTCTTTGTAACTGTCTGCCATTGTCGAATCATTAGCCATCGTTTTATTGGTTGAATTTATTTTTGCTAATGTATCATTTTCCTTTTTGTTTAATTTCCAATTACTTTTAAAAACTTGTAAACTTCGCACATTGTATTTCGTTAATAAGTTATCTTCATTATTAATTGACTTACGAAGATCAAGAACCTGAAAATAAAAATTAGGTTGCAACGATTTATTCATAATGTTGTATCCAAATACCAAGAGCTATGAAAAATCAACAATTTTTTAAACTTTCGACCGCCATATTGGATCCGATATTTTTAATTTTTGAAATTTGACAACAGATTCGTAATAAAGCGACCTTAAAAATCTTCAATTACCAAGTATTATGAAAAAGTTAAAAATATAAAAGATATTTCATCATTTTCCATTTAAGGGTTGTTTTTACGCTTAAAAAAATCATAAACGCTTTGATCTAGCAAAATTTCCAGACACAGGTATTTTTGGCCCTTCTTTCCGAAAATGATTTTCTGACCTGCGGCATTTCATTGTCATTTCTTATGTGAAATTTGCTCCTTAACTTGAATATGAAGACCCTTTAAGGACCAAATGTACAAAAATTTTGCCTAAAGTTTGGCAATATTTTAAACCAACTAAACGCGTTAAGAAAAAATTCGCAATATACGTATCTTATGGTCCAGGAACCGCTCATTCAAGTGGTGCATCTAAAAAAAACGTAAATTTAAAATTAAACAAATTACAGATAATTATTTATAAAAAAACATGAATTTTCAAGGATTTTTTTTTACTTAAGAATTTTCAACCTTTGACATGGTGGCATAGATTTAAAAAAAAACTAAATGTCTAAATAATATTGTTAATTAAAGTAGAGATTTTAATAACAAATACGCATCTATTGTCAAATAATTTAAAAACTCATCGGATCCACTCGAAAATCGTTACTCGGGGATTTCGGGATCGCTGATTACGAATCTGAAATCGATTTTCAAAAAATCAAAATGGCGGTTCCAATATGGCGGACGACAAAATTAAAAATTCATCGGATTCACTCAAAAATCTTTACTCAGGGGTTTTTTGGGGGTCGCTGATTAAGAATCCGAGGTCAAATTTTAAAAAATTTTATTATTCAAGATGGCAGATCCAATATGGCGGACGAAAATTTTGAATTTTTGAAAATCGATTTCAGATTCGTAATCAGCGACCCCGAAAATCTCCGAGTAACGATTTTCGAGTGAATCCGATGAGTTTTAAAATTATTTGACAATAGCTGCGTATTTGTTATTAAAATCTCAACTTTAATTAACAATATTATTTAGACATTTAGTTTTTTTTAAATCTATGCCACCATGTCAAAGGTTGAACATTTTTGACGCGATATTTGTACCTCGGGAAGCTATTTTGAAATGGTACATTGCCCAAAAAAATTCTTAACTAAACAAAAATCCTTGAAAATTCATGTTTTTTTATAAATAATTATCTGTAATTTGTTTAATTTTAAATTTACGTTTTTTTTAGATGCACCACTTGAATGAGCGGTTCCTGGACCATAAGATACGTATATTGCGAATTTTTTCTTAACGCGTTTAGTTGGTTTAAAATATTGCCAAACTTTAGGCAAAATTTTTGTACATTTGGTCCTTAAAGGGTTAAGAAAGTAAAGCAGTATTCGATATAGCAAAATTACAACTTTTTGAGTTTCAAAAAAGTGGTTTCACTAATTGAGGGGCTGTGTACAATAACAACCGCTACGCTCGACCGGTCGTTTTCGAGCGAATCAAGCGGGTCAAAAAGTGTAAAAATTTTGAACTAAATATTCAATTTTTTAAATCATATTGCCTTATATAAAATAAACAAGGAGGGGGTCCTTTATGTTTATTTCATAAACATTATGCTTCGTCATTGTGTGAAGCAAAAAATTCGCTTCCTCGTGAAGGAAGCAATGAATTTGTCCAATTCAATTGATTGATTTAAAAAACTTCGAGTTAAAAATGTTTTAAATTAATTAAATTTTTTGAAAAATAAAGAAAATTTTAATTAATTTTGAGTGTAACATAAACTTTATATATACGAATCGATTCGTTTTAATGCAAGGAATACAATTATTTTATTCATCAACTTGAATTTTAAAAAAACACAAAATTTTTTAGCTAAAATATGAATTTTCGATTTTTCAATTTTTATCAATTCTCAAATTTTTAATCAAATCTATATACTTTATATATACCAACCAATTCGTTTCAATGCAGGGAATAAAATTATTTCATATATAAACATGAATTTAAATAAACACATAATTTTTTAGCCAAAATGAGAATTTTTGATTTTTTAACTTTCATTAATTCTTTAAATTTCAATCAAATCTATACTTTATATATATCAATCGATTCATCTTAACATAATAAGAAGACGATTATATTATATATTACCTTAAATTTTTTGATTTAAAAATTTTTTCAATTAAAAAAAAATTTTTGGAAAAAAGACGATAACATTTTTTTTTTGGGGTATTTTTAAAAATCCTCTCGTCATTTTTGAGAGATTAATGTGTTAAATAAGCCTACCAAATTTTACCCAAATCCATTAAAACCTGTTAAAGATATCGTGTTCACAAAAACTATCCACACACACATACACACATACATACATCCGGACAATTGATCAGGATCTCATATAACATGTTTCTATATAGAGGAAAATTTGTTTTCACCATTTTTAAAAATTTTATAAACGAAAGGACTACATAGCTTCCTCCACGAGGAAGCAAAAAGTGCAATTTTTTTCTTAATGAATTGTTCTTCTATATTTTTTTTAACAAAAATGCAAAAAAAACTCCAATAATTTCTTTTTCAAATTTAATTGATTTTTCAAACATAAATCATTGTATCTCCGATAATTATTAATTAATTTAATTCAAACTGGATAAATACACGTATTAGAGTCTACTTAAGCTAATGAAATTATAAAAAGGTTTTAAAAAACTTTTATTGTTTAATTATTTTTAAATGTAAATTGAGAGTGGTCGGTAATAAGGTTTTCCAAGTTTCTATGACAAAAAGTCTACAAGGAGTTTTAAAATTGTAAAAATTTCTCATGAGACATTTGCTTAATACTATTCAAGGAAGTTTTCTGGAAATTTTCAAATCGTTTAATAAAAAGATTTTTGAAAAATTAAATTTTAATAAAAATCATGATTTATTTTTCAAAAATTAATTTAATTTGAAAAGGAAATTTTTCAAGTTTTTCGCATTTATTGAGAAAAATATTAGACTTCCTAAAAATTAATAATGATAAAAGTTGTGCTTTTTTATTTTCTATAAGGTAATGTATTTTAACCCTAGACAGCATATAAAAGGCTTATACGTAGAAGCACAACTGGGGTAGAAAACCACCCCAATATTGGTTTGTTGATAGAATAATCATATTTAACGCAAAACAACTTTATCATAAATAATTTTCTTCCTTTTTTATAAAAAAGAAAATAGCGTTTTTTGATTTTTGATAGGATTAAAAATATGGCCAAAAATTACAAAAACCACAACAAAAAACACAAAATCTGCAAAAAATACAGAAATTTGAATTTTTTCTAGGGTGGTTTTCTACCCCAGATGTGCTTTCTAGGGTTAAAAATTAAATCATGGAAGTGCAATTTATAAATACCATGTGAATAAATCAAAAATATTATTATTTTAAAAAAAGGGTTGCTACAGAAGCCATGACTTTAGAGGAATTTCCAGGTTCTCTTTTTAACATTAAAATATGTAATATTATTTAGACATTATTAAGTTTTATATATATTTTTTATTATTCTTGGGAATGAGTCAAAAATTCAGAATGTTCGCCTAATGAAAAAAAATTTAAGAAAAAAATTTTTCTTTTGGATTTCTAATTTCCAGTTTTTTTCTGACTGATACCAAAGTTCAAAATCAATAGTAAAACATTAAAATTTTTATAAAATAGGGTGAAAGCAACTCCAATTATGTTTAAATATGAAAATTATTCATTTCAACACTTTTATGTTTTCCTTCTTTTTTCTAAACATATAGCTAATTTTTTTTATACCCCATTAAAATCCATATTCGACATGACGCGTTCGAACTCCTGAAAACCACTTTTAAGAGCTGGGAGGCACCACCTTTATCTTGAGTCTTTTAAATTTAATGATGACAGGAAGTAATATTTTTTTCTTACATAATTTGGGTCCTGAAACCATACAGAATGGTAAAGAAAATAAAAAATTTAATTTTTGACCATTTTAGAATTTTTATTTTTTGAAAAAATCAAAATTTTAAAAAATCCAAACGAGAGATTCTGAAGAATCATTAAGAAAGTGTGGAAAAAAATTGTTGATGAAAAATAGTGGAAATTGTATAAGAAGATATGTATTTAAAATATTATTATTTTTTTTTAACTTTTAATTTCTAAAATGGTCAAAAATAATTTTTTTTTACCATCCTGTATGTTTTTAGGACCCAAATGATACAGGAAAAAAATAACTTCCTGAGATCATTAAATTTTATAAGACTCAAAATAAAGGTGGTGCCTCCCCTTAATATATATTAATAAATTTTTTAAATCGTTAAAGTTTTTATGACTTTATATTACTCAATTTTCAAAGAAAAAGTTTTTTTTTAAATATTAAGTGGAATAAAATTCCAGGGACGTTTTTAAATTTCTATGTCTTTTACAGATTTTCCAGACCTTTTTTGAAAATCCCTGACCCTTTTCCAGGTTTTCCAGATCCTGTGCAACCCTGTATTAAATATTTGCCTTTGGTAATTTTTTTTTCAAAATTCGGCGTGGAGACATTCTCCTGCATTCCCTACTTCCCACTTAGGCTTCCATATGGTTTCCCACATAGGAATTCATTTGCGAAACCACATAGGATTCCATATAAAAACGTATACAGTAATACCCCGGACTTACGCGATAGGTGGGACCGAGCGACAACCGTGTAAGTCCAATTCGCGTAAATCGGGGTTTAAGTTTTCATATAAAATAAATACAATAATTTAGAATTTAGAAGAAATATGTTTAACAAAATATCAAGTAAGAAAACTATTAAAATTTTTATGAATAAAAACAACGTAAAAAACAACAATAAATTTTTATTAATTAATTACGAGTTAATTCGCGCGGCTATAAAAAAACCGCGTATCTCCGAATTCGCGTAAAACGGGGTAGCGTAAGTCGGGCTTTTACTGTACGTATTTAGAACAGGAATTCGAATAAAGGTTTTATCATGAATCCCATTCGTATAATAAATCCTATGGTCGAGGGGAACAAGAGTGTGAGCGAGAAAGAAAATTCACATTTTTCTTCTCGCTTAAACTCATGCTGCCCCTTGCCCCGTCTTCCCGCAGGCAGGCGAGCTGTGACCGCGTCTTTATAATGGAGCCCGATTGTACACGTTTGACGATTATTTTAACATAAGCAGTTATTGCAATCATTTACAGCTTAAGGATCGTTCATAAATTACGTAGCCAGGGTCCGAAACAAGACCAGGTCAGAATTTCTTTTTTAAAGAATTTTTAATTAATAAATTTTTTATCTGGTAGAATTCTTAAAACGCTGAATTTTTATTTTTTCGAAATTGTAAATGGCCGAACATACAATCAACAGAAAGATTTCGGCGCGATTTTTAAAATCCACCAATCACGATTTTCTTGACAATTTTTGATTGGTGAATTTTAAACATCGCGCCGAAATTTTTCTGTCGATTGTTTTTTAGGTCATTTGCATTTTCGGACAAATAAAAATTCGGTGTTTTAAGAATTCTGTACAATATAAAAATTCGATACATAAAAATTTTGTTAAGGAAAAATTGATTTAAAAAGAAATTCTGTCAAATACGTAAATTCGAAAAATGAAAATTCGTCTAAAAAATAATTATTTCTAATAAAATTCTTTAAAATTGTCATATTGTTTTTTATTTTTGAGATAAACTCAAAAAACTGCTCAGAAAGAAAAATAAAATCAAAAAGTTAAAAAATATTTGAATGACACTGAGCTAGTGTAATTCTATATATTTTTTGCCACTGAATCCGAATCCAAAGTCAGAATTGTTAGATTCGCTCAAAGTTTTGAGATAACTGCAAAAAACTCAAAAAACTTAAAATCAGTGTTTTGGAATTATCATCAAAATTTGAGCCAATCTGGCAATTCTGCGATTTCGAATTCGGATTCAGCAGGAAAAAACAAACAGAAATACACTAACGTAGTGTTTCGGCAAAAACAAATAATATGTGCACCTAATTCAGGATTTTTATCAGTTTTTGGCGATTAGCTCAAAGAAATTTTTTTTGCCGAAACACTACGATAGTGCATTTTCATATATTTTTTCACGCTGAATCCGAATTCGAAATCAGAACTAACAGATTGGCTCAAATTTTAAAGATAATTCCAAAAAATTGATTTTGAGATTTTTGAGTTTTTTGTTACTTGAGTTTTTTGCAATTATCTCAAAAATTTGAGCGAATCTAACAATTCTGACTATGGATTCAGATTCTTTTAATTTTTTGATTTTATTTTTCTTTCTGAGCAGTTTTTTGAGTTTATTTCAAAAATAAAAAACAATCTGACAATTTTGTCTTCGGATTCGGATTCAACGAGAAAAAATACATGCGGAAAAAGACTAGTGTAGTGTCTCGTCCAAACAGCTTTTTATTTTTTGTGTGCCTGTCTTATGTTCTAAAAATCATTAGTTAGAATTTTCATTTTATGGAATTTCATTTGTTATAATTATTTTTAAGCCGAATTTTTATTTGTTCGAATTAGTATTTTGCAAAATTTTCATCAAAACAATTTTCTATATTACAGAATTTTTATATAACCGTAAACTCACTTCACAGAATTTTTATTTGCTCGAATTTTTATTTAAATTAATAGACATTTTAAAGAATTTTTATTGAGTAGAATTTCATTGCATAGAATTTTCATTTTATTCTTTCAGATGAATTTTCATTTGTTCGATTTATTATTTGATATAATTTTCATATAACCGATTTTTCATACTACAGAATTTTTACTTAACCGAAAAATCCATAAAATGAAAATTCTAACTAATGATTTTTAAAACATAATCATGAGTCCCAATTTTAACTTAAGATTTTTATGGAATAATTATGAGCCCCTTTTTCGAAGATATATATGTGACGCGTCGCGAAGAAAGGGACCTTAGAAGAAAAAAAAACGCAAAATTTCGAACAATGTTTTAGACAACAGTTGTAGGACTCAAAAAAACACATTTTATGCCCTATACCACGGTGAGCTTGGATGATGTTCAACCCAAAAGTTAATGAACATCGACATTTTCTTTTTGATATTCTTTGTGGAGTTCTTCTGGTTATTTTAAGACCAAAATGAAAATAATCGATGGAAGGAAATTAAAATTATCTTGATTTTTAACTTTTTTAATAGTGATTTTAAATGATTTATGAAAAAAAATTTTATTTAAATTTTTTTCTTAATGCAAAACATGTATTTTGATGTTAATAAAGAATTTCTAGTCGATTAAAATATTTTAAAATATTAATTTTTTTAAAAATTGATGAAAAACATGGCTTCTTTACGATTTTTTGAAAGTAAAACTTCTATTATGCATTTCACACTAAAATCGTAAAGAATTGAATTAATGTACATAAAATTTTCTGTAAAACAAAACAAAATAGAAAGAAAAGGTTCACTTTCATGTCAAATAACAAAATTCGAAATAAACAATTATTTGTGACTGTGATTGTTATATTATGTATTAGTTTTTATGGTGTTTTATGGTTTTTTTTGGATTTGTCTCGAAAAATAATTACTTTTGATAAAAAATGTATAGGACATAAAATGTGTGTTTTTTGAAACCTACAACTTTTGTCTAAATCATTTTTCGAAATTTTCGTTTTTTACGAATTAATCGTAAAAAACCATGATTTTATGGTACTTTTCTTTCATTATTATACAAGAGCGCTATTTTAATAATTTTTTTTGTCAAAAACGATAAAGCTCGATGAGATTTACGCAGAACATTTAAATTGGTCCCGCAACATTTTCTTCTAATTCTTGACAATTTTTAATAACGATTCTAGATTAATTTAAAAAAATACTTAAAGGCAAATATTCTATTTTTTAAAATTCATATACTCCTGGTTGATAAACATTTGATTTTTCACATACATTTTTGAAAATTTCATTGAAAATAAATTAGCACAGAATGTTTTATTTTGAATATATTACTTTTTTTAATTTACCTTTTTATAACCTGAATCAAGTTCCGATTCGGTACTTCCAATCACTAAATGTGCTTCGTTATTCATAGTTAATTTTAAACCTTTTTTTTTTGCAAAATCTGTGATACAATAAGAATAACCAAGAAAGAATATTCGTATAAAATAGAATAAAAACAATTTAACACATGAAATCAGAGATAGAAAGGATTGTATGTTCCATCACGCGTAAAGGCCTTCGCACAATAGTCCGCTAAAGTGATTACTCTCCATTGTCCCCACTCTCGCCAAAGTTCCCACTGCCATTTGTCATAATTTTCGTCAACTACCGCACCCTGCTCTAGTGAAAATTTAGTAACTTTATAGTAACTTTTAATTTTAACAATAAATCACTAAAGTTTCACTAGAGCAGAGTGCGGCAGTTGACGAGAATTATGACAAATATGTAACGAGTGAGGACAATGGAAACCAGCCACCATGTGCGCATTGTTACGAGCAAAATTGCATATTTAACGCGCAAGCGTCAATTTTGCTCTTTGATTCGCGGATTAAACTTTAGTTAAATTCTTTAAGAAGAAAGCGGGATGTTTAAATAAAGACAATTGAATTACCGTTTGAAACGGTGGAAAAACCTAACGAGAATAAAAGACCAATTAATAATTAATTGATATTAACTAATTATTGATCGATTAAACTCGAGAGGAAACCTTAACTAAATTTATTAAAAGTCTTAGAAAATACATAAACGTCCGATAGGAGTAAGCTTATTATTATATATATATATATATGTGACGCTCCACGAGAAAAGGGACCTAACGCGACAAAAAATTAATTTCCAGTTTTATATGCGAATCGATAGTATTTGAGTTGCTCTTTCATATAGAAATGTCAAAAATAATATTTTTCTAATTACTTTTTTTGTAATAAAGCTTTAAACATGACCATGTCTTCTTTTTCTTCTTCTTCTTGTTTAAATGGCCTCTTGTAGAAACAAATAGCCAGTACTAAATAATATTTCGGTAAATATACGTAGTTGCGTAGAGATGATTCCTCCAAACAGAATAGTTATATAGCAAGGTTAAATATACGTAGTTACGTAGAGATGATTCATCCAAACAGAATAGTTATAAAGCAAGGTTGTTGCTCAATAGGAAAGCTGTTGACTGTTTGATATCAGGTTGTCCAGTAGATTGGTAACTCATGCGCCGTTATAGGCAGTTACTGTATTGCAGCACTTCTGTATGAGAGGATAGAGAACTGCGCGGGAAATTTGAATTGAAAGGAGAAATTCAATTTTATGGGGTCAAATTGTGCAATTAAAAAAAAGAAAAAACTGCATAACTACTAATAAATCAAAATTAACAGCTTAATTAAAAATTTAAAGAGTAATTTTATTTTCTTTAAAATTTAACAATTTATGTATAAATGTATGTATGTTTCTGTTTCTAATAAAAATCTTTTCCTCTTTCTTCCGCTCTCCCTCGCACCACCCTCTATTAATTTCTCCTCTTTATTTTTCATTATTTATCCATTTATTTCCATCCCCCCTTCCCTCTCACATCTTATTTACTTATTTCTCTCCCTTACTCCCTCCCTCTAGGTTATTAACTTTAATTTAACATGATTAAGATTGTGAAACTTATAGTCGAACTGAAAGTAAATAAAAGTTATTTAAATTTACAATTAAATGGAACCATTAACTTGGGCGAAAAACTTCCCAATTTCATTAGTGGAATTTAAGTCAGGATTAAATATTAAATCATCTAAAACAAAATTATCAGGATTGAAGTGAGTAAGTCTCTGATTTAAAAATGAAAAAAAGCTGGTCTGTCTGGAGAAAGACGTGGGCAGAAGCTCAAAAGATGGTGGAGATCTTTAAATTCAATACCGCATTCACAGCCCAAGGAGAGCGTCCATCCCAGTCTAGCATAATGTTCGCCAGTACGTATATGTGACGATCTCAATCTATTAATGATATTAAAATATTTCCTAGGGGCATCGATGCTCTGAAACCAAGGCCGTGTAGACTTATAATTCACCCTATTAAAATACTGATTACGTACGGAACGATTATCGGAAAAAGGCCAGAGGTAACTCTGCCCTTGAATATAATCTCTTTTCACGATCTTGAAGAGATCCCCAGGAGGAGCCCCCAAAAAGTTGCCATAAGGGTAGTTCAGGGAGTTTTTGGCACATCTATCCGCTTTTTCATTTCCTTTGATCCCTATGTGGGCTGCAATCCATAAAAAACACACACAATCTCCCCTATTAGTAAGATCAGTTATAGTTTTGATAATTTTAACAATCAAAGGGTGAGGATTCGGACTACTAAAGCAGTCACGAATGTCACACAAAGAACTACGAGAATCTGTTACTGGTCAAAGTTACTTCTCGAAGCCTGTTTTAAGGCGGATGAAATGGCGTAATGCTCACAGGAATCACTAGACATCAAACCGCTGAGTCTGACTCCAAATTCCATGTTAATAAGAGGTATGACAAAACTTGAGCCAGATCGGTTATAAACAGGATCGTGTGATCCATCCGTAAAAATTCTAACATAATCCCGAAACCTAAAATGACACAATTCCTCAAACACACAGAGTTCGAGTCAATAGCACTTCTAAGTTCACAACCAGAATCCAAGTCGATCAAGAGCGGTTTAGTGAGCTCGTCCCAGGTAAGGTCAAAAGAAGAGGGTTTCTTTTGGCGACCACACTTACTGAGAATCTCAGAAATATCTCTGTATGAATTGAGCAACAAGGATTTGAGAAGAAATTTCTTTTCGCCTCTACGTGCCGGAGCTTCCGATCTCTCGCGCAATAATTTCAATTTAGGTATAAGAGGATTAGTAAACCATGAAAAATTTCTAATCAAATGATTCCTACTCAGAAATGCTCTTCTAAGAGATAAAGGAGGCTCGTCAGTTTCTGATAATAAAATACTAGTAGGAGTAGATCTCATACAGCCAAGGATAACCCTTAATGCCGCAAACTAAATCCTATCTAATATAGCCAAATTGGTCTTACTGGCTAAGCCAAAAAATTGACAACCCCACTCTAAATGTGATCTTATCAGACCCTATACACCATGAGCATAGAGAGAGGGTTAGCTCCCCATGAAATTTTTGCCATTGCTCTTAAAATGTTGATCGCTTTCGCTGCTTTAAGAGCAATTTCTTTAATATGCCTGTTCCAAGTCAGACGTCGATCCAGATGTATACCTAGATAGATAAGATCCTCCTGAAGATCAATCCTAACCTCTCTCATCATAATATGTGCATTCAAGAACTTATTATTAGACTTCGAAAAAACAGCTAGTTGAGATTTAACAGGAGCAATAGAGAGACCTATATTAAATAGCCAAGGGGTCAAATCTTCAATTGTGTCACTCAAAATTCCGATAGCCTTCGAGACATCCTTCGATCTAACATATAAAAGTAAGTCGTCAGCGTACATTAACCTTGTTGGATGTCCGTAACGAACAATGATACGCAATCATTAGTAGAGCGACTCTTTCTGAAACCGTACTTGAATATTGGTATTCCATTTGCTGATTCAACGAAGTGCTCCAGTCTTTTAAGGATTATGCGTTCAAAAAGTGTACATACTACGGACGTAAACGATATTGGACAGTATCCTTTACCGTTGGGTTTGGGAATGAATACCACTCTCGTATTCTTCCATTCATTCGGATATGAAGCATTAATAAAAAATGTATTAAACAGACTTAATAAAAGTTTGCGAGCGGATAACGGTAGTTTTTTTAGTATGGAGTTTGTAATGGAATCCATTCCGGGAGAACCATCTTTTTTGTTGCTCGATAAAGCCGAAAGAAACTCCTTCACTGAGAAAGGACCATTAAGAGGATCATCATTATTTCCCTCAGTCAAAAGTGGGAGTCGGACAGGAGGGAGATGTTCCTGGACAAGATCTTTCTGAAGATTAAGAAAAATCTCAGAATTAGGATCATTCCCAATGTTTGTCCGAAGAGGTTGAGAGGCAGTGGCAAATGCCTTAACTTTGGACCAAATTTTTCTCGAGCCCATTGAGAGATTAATCGAATAACAAAAATCTACAAAGGATTTCTTTTTTTTGTCACGTAAAAACCATTTGACCTCGTTGTTAACCTCTCTAAACCTAGACCTCATTTCATCCGATTGATCCAACAGAAGTGCCTTCCTAGCTTCCCGCCTGCGGTTCAGCGCCCCCTCACACTTTTGGTCCCACCAAAGAGGTTTGGATTTCCTTTTGCCTGGCAAAGCAGAGGGGACATAGGCACCACAAGCTAAAAGGCATTCCCTAATGGAATTCAAGAATTCATTATAAATTTCACTAGATCGTTCCGGTACCTCCAGATTATGAGTTAATACTTCTACTCGGGGTTCTATAAGATCTGAAAACGTAGACCAATTAACTTTATTAATGTTAAATCTCTTTGTATTAGATTTCTGCAGTTTGGGAGAAATATCAAAAGAGGCCGTGAACAAAAAATGGTCCGACGTAAAAGTATCCTGAATCACATCTACCGACGAAATGCTACGCAGAGAAAAAGAAACAAAGATTAGGTCCAAGTTACCTTCTATTTTACCCTCACTGCTAATGAATGTGGGATCGCAATCCTTGAGCGGGACCAGATCAGCGTCTCCAATTGCATCACCTTTGATTATTTAAATTAGACCCCCCACATCCAAGAGTGAGCATTAAAGTCACCACAAAAAATGACTCGATCCTCTGGAGGATTGCATAAGTAGCAAGAATCTGGATTCTACCCAGGTTAGTAGATATAGAAACACCCACACAGTCCACATATCCAGAAAGAGTCTCAGGAATAGTCATTGGCGTAACATCATATCCCTTTTTAACAAGAATCACCACCGTTCTGATGATTACCCCTGTCCTTCCTAAATGTTAAATAACCCGGCAATTGCCAAACTGAGGTTCGAGTTGTTAAACAAGTTTCAGCAATTGCAAGAAAGTCTAAATCTTGAGTTAATAGCATAGACTCAATCTCAGGTCTTTTATTTAAGACACTATGGGCATTCCAATTACCGAACCTGATAAGTTTAGACCTGGTAGGCATGATTAATCAAATGATATAGTTGATATAATTTAATAATTCTAAAGTCAACCCGAAAAATCGACTGTGTATACAAGCCAAACTCCAAAACGAGAGAGCAAAACAAAGAAAACGAGGCAGAAAAAAATAAGAATTGAAAACAAAAATATTAATAA